GTTCTGTGAGCGACCCCTCTCTGAAGCAGTTGACACTGATGAATGCTTTTTCCTTCTTGAGACTTCTTCCTCCCTTAGTTTCTAGAAGAGTATAGTGCCTAAAATTCAACAAATCTTTGTTGAACTAATACATTTCTTTTATTTCCCTATTTTTTTTCAATCCTCCTTAGTATCCTTTGCTGTTCCTTTTCTTCCTACCCCTTCAAATAACCATGTTCTTCAATGTTCAGTCCTTTTCTTTTGAAATTGATGACAGGAGAGTCAGCTAACAGTTTCTGAGTGCTTACTTGCTTTTCTCTTGAGGGTTTTATTCACATGCTTTACCCCATTTAATCCTCAAAACAACCTAAGACACTGGAACCTTATTGTCCACAATTTGTTTAGCATTTATCATGTGCCAAGCGCTAAATGCCTTATATGTATCATTTCATTAATCCCCATTACAACCTTGAAGCTGTTAATAATCTTAACTGTTTTAACAAGGAAAATGAGACATTGAGATGTCCAATAAATTTCCCAAGGTCTCAGTGCACAGAGTGATGGAAACAGACTCGAATTCAGGCACTCTAATTCCACAACATACACATATAATACCTGTTTGTCTATATTCTTCTCCACAACTGATGTCATTCAATTTCTCACAGCCTCAACTACCACCCTGTGCCAATGAGTTCAAATGTCTTTGGCTCTAGTATCTCTTTGGGGTCACAGACCATCTATATCAATGTGGTTATTAGAGCTTCCCCCCCCCCCCCCCGGAAGTACTGGATTGAATTCAGGGATCCTTTACCAATGAGCTTTACATCCCCAGCTTTTAAAATTCTGAAACAGGGTCTTGCTAAGGTGCAGAAGCTGGCTTTGGACTTATAATCCTCCTGCCTCAGCCTGCTGCATTGCTGGGATTACAAGTGGTTCCACCATGCCTGGCTAGAACCTCCTTTTTTTTTTTTGGAACCGGGGGTTGAACCCAGGGCCTTGCAAATGCAATGCAGACACTTTGCCACTGAGCTACATCCCAGCCCCTAGAACCTCAATTTTTGACAAAGCTAAATTTGGATACAGGTAACATTCTCTACAAAATTCCTCATCCTACAGCTTAGTGTTGGTTACTGACTCCAGCAGGTCACTTAAGTCAGAATGCTGAAAACTTTCTGAATACCTCCCCTTCTCTTGTACCATACAAGTAAGGTCACCAAGGCCTGGCAATTATGTCTTCAAAATAAATAAATAAAATCTGTTTCTTCTTGTTCGAAATCCAGCCACAATTTTAGTTCATCTCCTTATTCACAGGCTTGGATTACTGCACCAGCCCTATCTCAGTAAATTATTCATTCCTCCCTCTAGGTCTGTCCCCACTTTCAAGCACTTTTCTGGAAAATCATTTTTCTACAATTAGCTTAGAAACTTGATGACTTCCTACTGTCCTGAAAATAAAATTTTAACTCCTTTTTCAGCATATCATAAAAAGGATACAACAGAGTTTGGTCTAGAGTACATTTTAGGCCTAATTCCTCACAACCATCCCTATGTATCCCACTCTACTCATTTTTAATCCTCTACAGTGGAACATGTTCTTTCTCCTTTGTATCTATACCTATCTAGTTTTCTTTGATTCACTAACTGCCACTCATCCTTTGAAGACAGCTTAAAAATAATCTTTCCTGTGAAACCTTTCTGGATTTCTACTATGGCTAGTGCTATCCCAATTCTGGGCTTAACAATCAAAAAGGGCTCAATTATGCTTATTTTGTACCACTTAAAAACATGGATGGAAAATCATGGGAATATTGCCTATGTCAATATGCACTGAGAAAAAGATTTGATTAAATACCTTCCAGTCTTTTGGATCAAGTGTTTTCAGCATGGGAAACTCTTCCAGCTGCAATTCCTCATCTTCTGATTCCTCTGATAACTCTTTCTTATCCTCCAGTTCCTGAAAAGAGGCAGAAGCATTTCTGGTTCTCCTCTTAACAAAAGCTTCAAACCATCTTCCCACAGGTTCAACTTGACAGAGTGCAGAGGCTGTGATTGAAATTGGTAAGAGAGGCTTCAATGTATTACATGAAACAAGTCTGTTTCAGGGCAATATATTTTCTTAGGAAGATTAAAACAGTGATGCCATTAGAATATAATTTTAAAATCACCAACTATAAAAATAATTGCAGTCATCCTATTTACATGAGGGGTAGCAAGAAATTATCATTTCTAGTATCTACAGAGTATTCCATCAAAGTTGTCCAGATAACTAAAAAAATATAAAACCATTCAATAATGTCCATAATAAACCAATACTTTTCTGTGGATAAAAGACTGGTAGGGAACAGGAAGAAATGTTGCAAATTGCTTTACTTTTATACCAATAATGGAAATGAAGCAATACATAATGATAAACTGTCACTAGGAATTAACTTCCAAAAAAAAAAAAAATCAACTCAAACTATCTCAATTATTAAAATCTTGAATTAAAATAGCTCCTAATAATTTTAAGGATTCACTAGCAAGATTGTTCCTAAAGATAATTTTACAAGCAGCTGATGGGGACTTACTAATGCTGCTGTGCTGTTAGATAACCTTGGGATCTAAACTCAGAAGCTATGAGCTTTAGTCTAGGTTTGACAGTGTATCTTGAAATGATTCAGAGAGGTCTTCAACTATAAAATGGGAACAATACGTAGGTCATTTAGTTCCTAGAAACATTGAGAACGCATAAAAGAACTCTGCAAACTACACTGCTGTAAGAAAAGCATTGTATATCTGTATATTGGTAACTGAAAAATAGCAATTTGGGTCAGGGAAGGGGGATAAAAAGACTCAAAACCACATTTAACAAGCACCAATGAAAGTGGCAATGGGAATCTGAAACCCGAGACTTCCACAACTTTCCTAAGCTATAAATCAGAATCTACAGCAGCAGAACAAGTTTCACTTGTTATGACTGCCTTTAAAGTCTATCTCCGCCAACCTTTCCAGCAGCCCAAGGAGCGGTCTTTTAATACTTTAGAGCAGTGTCTGAGTTCTGACGTTTAAACTACAAAGCCGGAGCAAACGTACAGGAGAAAAAAAGTGTTAAGGCTTTGTACAATCCCAGACACGTGGGGTGTTTGCAGCTGGTAGTCTCTTTGCCGAAAGCAAGGAGATGCTTATGGGTATCTTTCTGGGGTACTGGAGAGTTCGGTCCCGAAGTGTTCAGAAGGATCCATGAGTCAGCAGCCCCAAGAAAAGAAAACAACCTTAGGGGCAGAAAGATGCCCCCAAGCCGCTCAGTCTTCCAATCTAGAGCAGGATTACTTTAAAGCAGGGAGCAAAAGGGCACTTGTGACTGCCCCACAGAACCGGGAGCTAAACGCCGGGGTCAAGGGTAGAGAAATTACAAGATTGCGAGAGGGAAAACTGAGGTAGGGGCGGCTGAAGCGGGACGGACCCGGAGTTGGTGGGCACGTACCAGAGGTCAGAGCGTGGGTGATGGCGGTGCCCTGGCCGTCCGCGGCGCTCGGCAGGAGCAGCATGATGGCGCTAGGGCTAGCCCTGCGGGCGCAGCGGCTCACGTCCCCGGCGGAAGGCCCTCTGCGTTCCCTCCAGCTCTACCTCCCCGTCCGAGCCTGGCGCCTAGGCTCTACGACGCTCAGGAACCGGCGCGTGGACACAAGCAGCAAGCACTTCCGGGATGGGTCTTTCGTGGTGTGGACGCCAATCCCACCCCCACCCATCCGCGCCAACGTGTGCTGCAACCTAGTTCCTCTACCCACTCAGATCCGGCTGGAGACCAAGGCGCACGAAAGAACGGTTCCTAGACTTATTAGTACCCATGTAGAAAGGATTATTTTTACAAGCCGTAGAAAATAACTTTTAAAAGTTATTTGCATATGTTTCTCTCTCTCTCTCTCTCTCTCACACACACACAGTAAAAACAGCTACTTCTAGATTGTAATTTTCAAGATCCTTCTTTATGTATTAGCCTGAACCTAACCACTGATTTATTTTTATTTTTTACCAGTAGCTCTACTTGTACAAATACATACACTTATGTACGTATACCTGTGATGCAATTTGTCATGCTATTATTCGTTTACCAGCATTATCTCTTTTAATAATCATTTGGAGAAAAAAAACACCCTCTAGCGTTAGATTCTATTTCAAGGCCAGCATTATTTTTATCCTGTCCTAACAGAATGAATTTTTATTTCAAGATATTTCCAATGACAGGGTTCTGGGTTTTGTTTATTTGATGTATATTAAAAGTCAATTGTATTTCTACTATAAGCGTCCTTCTATGACTAAGGTTAAAAAAAAAAAATTCAAAACGTGCAACCCCCCCCCCAAACTTTTCCAAATCTATCACACCATTCTACAGTCCCATCGGGTATACGTAATTTCATTCTCCACCCCCCACCCCCATCGTTGCCAAACTTACTTTTAAAAAAATTTTATAGTAACCATTCTAATGGGTTTGAGATGGTTTTGATTTGCCTGTCCTTAGCAGCTATGTTGAACACCTTTTCATGTAGTCTGTCCTTTATATACCTTAAGAGAAATGTAGACTCAAGTTCTTTGCCTCCCTGCCTGCCTTTCTTTTTCTTTGCCCATCTTAAAAATAAAGTTGTTCTATGATTGAGCTGGAGGAATTCTTTGTATAGTTTGGATATTAATACCCTATGAGAAAAATATTCTTCGTTCTAGTTTATAGATCTATCCATCACTTGTGCCAGGCATTTTGCAAACACTGTTTGATCTGGCGTCTTCCTAATCCTGTGAGGTAAGGAGGAAATTAAAATTCAGAGATTAAACACATTACACAAATTGGCCACACTAACTCAGGATTTAAACTCATCGACTGAGCCAGGGTTGGTCCTGGAATTTACTGCTACGGGATCTTACGAGACTACAGACGGTGAGGGGCCAGAATAGACCATCGTTTCCGTCTAACAAGTACGCTTTTCTCCAGCCACGACCGGGGCTAGAACGTGTTTCCTTACAAGGCTCTCGTCATCTCTCAGGTGCAGAGCAAACCGGCACCAGGAGCCGGTTCTACTTCCGGTGGGGAAGGGAAAGGGAAAGCACCACCGGAAGCGAGGAAGATGCTGTGTAATCACTGAGAAAGTAAGGGAGGCACTCGCATCCTAAAAATGCCGGATTACCTCGGTGCCGATCAGCGGAAAACCAAAGAGGATGAGAAGGACGACAAGCCCATCCGAGGTCAGTTGAGACAGGCATGATCTCGGAGCTGGGTGGGACCAGCCTTGGCACTGGAGAGGAGCTAGATTCTCGTCCTGGCTCGGTGTTCTGTTCCTTTCTGACCCAGTAATTTAGTCCGGGGCGGCAATCCCGGGCCTGCCTTCTCTCTCGTCCTCCTCCCGCTTCAAGTGGTGAATTCATCTGTTGCTGGTCGAATTTTTAATTAATTTCCATCTCACGGGAATTGAAGATGTTACGCACTCTGCAGGGCCTTACAGGCCTGCAGAAATTCCCTCGCCTGGCGGTGTTTGGTTACTTCATCCTCTTATCGAACCTCCGCCAACGGCCCCCAAAGTGTGACAATTTGGTACTATAACAGTGTAGCCAGAATCCTGAGACAACATTGTCTTTAAAATAACAACTTATTTGACTAGATAATGCATTCACAAGTTTCAAAATTCGAGAGTTAGGAAAGAGGCATTTTGAAGTCTCCCATCCTTGGCCCCAGCCACCAGCTTCTCCATGGAAGCAGCTAATGTTGACATTTTACGTAGCCTTCTAGACGTTTTCTATACAAACAATTCTACTTTTGTATTTTCTATTTTTTTTTTACATAAATACAGCATGCTCTGCAGGCTTCAACATCTTGCTTTTTAAAAATATATATTTAGAAATAATTTCATTGTAATGCTGTTTGTCTTTCTGCATCTATATAGTATTCCATCGTATGGGTGTATGATAATATATTTAATAAGGCATTGATGACGTTTAGATTTCCCTGGTCACCATTGTAAAGCACCTTGTTTATATAACTTCCACGTGAAGTTGTAGTGTAAATTCTAGAAGTGGCGTTGCCATTTGTTTCTTTTGAGCTATTTTAAAATGTTATGGTGTTTTGAAATGTTTTTCTCTTACTCTTCCCTTTTGTAACTTCAACTTTTACTAGAACCCCCTTTTCACCATTTACACCCTCCTCCCAAAGAAAAAGCATTTTCTGTCCTCATTCTACTCTAGTCTCCTTGAAAGTCTTGTAAGACTGAACATTTCAGAGGTACTAAGTACCTGTGAGAGAACCTAATCACAGAAATTCGCTATTTGATATGCATAGTGATCTATGTGATTCTCTATATTGTTTTGTAAAATTAACAAATTTGGACATAGTTACAACTAATATGTATATTGAAATTCAGGTGTTTCTTAATCGGTATCTTATTTGATCTTTACAGAAACACTGAAGGTAAAATGGTGTTATCTCTGTTTTTCAGGTGATGAAACTAATACTAAGATTTTAATGTTTTTACAAGGTTATCTAGCAAATACATGACATTTTTAGGCCTAGCCCCAGGTTGTTTCATTCTCAAACCCCTTGATGTTCTGGCCTGCTATTCTGTGGCATCATTTTGAGTATTTTCAGTGGTTGTGTTGATGATCACTGATCACCTCAATTCTGGCAATTTCTGTTATCATTGCACTTTAACCACCTAAGGAGTTGATACTGTTAGACTTTATTATTAACAGAAGCTACTTAATTTCTATTAAACTTCATATTTCTCTTTCCATCACAACCTTTTGCTCTTCAGTCTTCATTATCACTGAACCTTAACCTGACCTCACTTTTGATCTGTTTCAATCTGGTATCTTATTCTTCCCCGCTCATACTGTTCCTATTTTTTTGTGGTAACTTAGTATACCCAATTTTTGCTCATTGCATTTTTTTTTCTCTGTTTAATTCTGAAAGTCTCAGTGTTTCTTGTCTTTTCTCTGCTCACAGGCTGCCAACATTGTTCAAACAAGTCACAGAAATCTCATTGATGAATTTACTTCCAACTTAATCCTTCAGGTCTCAATTGAGAAGTATTGCTAATGCCCTTTCACTTTGTGGTTGTTTCAAATCTTTTACACATTTCTCAAGTCTTCAGTTAGTTCCGGTCTTCCTGGCGGATGATTTTTTTTTCTCTCTGCTGAGAAGATTGAAAATGCACTGTTAACTTTTCTATTATCATCCATTTTTTGTTTTGGTCCTGCCTCAGAATGTGATGTTATTTTCTGTCAAGTCTTAACCTTCCCATATCTGTTCCTGACCCTTTCCCTTCCTCCTCTAGAACTTTGTTTCATCAATTACCACCTCTTTTGTTTGTTTTCTTATGGGCTTTCCTTTTGTTCCTGTGAATATACTAATATCAACTTCATCTTAAAACCACACACAATTGGGAAGATTAGTGTTTTTGTTGTTGTTTTGTGTGTGTGTGTTTGCCCATGTTCGCAGTGCTGGGGATTGAACACTATCATTGAACTGTAACCCCAGCCCTTGTAAAGATCTTTCTATTCTTCTATCTATCCTTTCCAGCTACAACCCATTTTCTTTTTTTACCTGAAAGTGGCTGAAAGGGTGGACATGAGAGTTAGGAAGATTTGAATCTTGACTTTGCTTCTTACTTAGTGGACGAGTCACATTCAGTTTTTCTAATGTATAATATGGAAACAATTGTATTCACTTTACAAGTTTATATAGGATTAAATGTTATATCTATGGCATTTATTTATCTGTAGTCAGTGAACTTTTCAATAAATGGCAGCTATGATTACTATTATGCTCACCAGTCCATTTCTTCACTGCTGCTCCTTTTTTCTTTCTTTCTTTTTTTTTGGTGGTTCTGGGAATTGAAACCAGGGATGCTCAACCACTGAACTACATTCACAGCTCTTTTTTTTTATTTTAGACAGGGTCTCACTGAGTTTTCAGGCTAGCCTTGAACTTGTGATCCTCCTACCTTAGCCTCCCAAGTTGCTGGGAGTACATGCTTGTGTCACAGCACCTAGCTCTTATTAAGTTTTAAACCTCCTGAAGTTTGGTTGCTGTGTTTGTAAATCTAATTGATCATTGGTTTTTTAATCCAAGACCCTTTACTATTTTTTCAGTCCTAATCTTGATGTTTTTGACATTGTTACACTTGGGCCTCCTTTGGTTTCTCTTATTGAATCTTTCTGTTTATCCTCCCTGTCCTCACATGGTTTCTCTGCATTTTTGTTACTGGTGATTTCATTCTCATCTTGCACTGCTGCCTCTCAAATGTAATTCCCTAATCTTTTTTACTTCATACACTGGTATCTGAATTATAGAGCCAGATTACTGTCTGCCTTCCAGGTTGCTGCTTTGGGATACACTGGTGTTACAGAGTTCCCAAGATTGTGTCCTCAGATTCAGTAATGATCATTAGGTGGACTCATAGGACTTAGCATACTATTTTCCTTATTACTCTGATTTATTATAGCAGAAGGATACAAAACAAAATCAGCAAAGACAAAAGGAAAATGAGACACGGGTGAAGTTCAGGGATAAATTTCAAAGGTTCGTTGTGCTTGTGGATTCACACAGGTGCTCCTAATTTTCACAGTAACAATTGTGACAGCGTGTAAAATATTACCAACTAGGGAAATTTGTTAGATAGTCATTGCCAGTTTTTTTATTGGGGACTGATCATGTAGACACTGTCTGCCTACCACATACCAAATTTCACACTCTTCGAAGAAATGCAGTTGTATTTGTACAAAGGGTTTAGACAGTGAACTACTACTCATTGTCAGTTCTGGAAATGGTTGGAACACTCTCAAAAATTCATGTTTTCAGATACCATTCAAGGGTTAACCTTGTAAACAGAGCTTTCAGATGCCATGGTAACTCTTCTGAGAGGTAGAGTAATACAACAAACTTAAGAAAATTGAAACAGAACTGGATTTTCTCCTCTATTTTCATTGGTTTTTTAATCCAAGACCTTTTACTATCCAGTTTTTCTTATGATTTCTCTTAAAAGTTACCACCTTCTCTGGGATATGCAGTGTAAAGCCTGGGCATCATTTTGATTCTTCTCTTCCTTAGCTCCTGGCATTTAGTTGCCATGTGCTGCAGATTTCTCCTCCAAGGACTTTTTATCTAGCTCTTTATTTCTCTTTTCATTGCCACCATCATATGTCAGGCTCTTGTGACCTCCAAATGGCCTCACATACTCCAGTTTGTTCTCCATACATTAGCTAATTCTTCCTAAGGTACAGTTCCTATGTGTCAAGATGTGCCATGTCCTGTCTTAATTCACTCTAGCATTCTTGGACTACCTCACCAGGGCCCCAAACATCCAACTACTTAATTACTCATTAACCATACTATGTTTCAGTTAAATTGGCCTAGTTGGCAGTAACCTGCATGTTATTCTGACTTTTACTCATACTTATTGGGGAAGGTGGGATCCTGCCCTGTGAAAATAGCTTGTCCTTGTAGGCTCAAAAACGTTTTTTTCTTGAAATATATAGAGTTGACTTTTGTTACTCATAGTAGGTTTGTTTTATAAATTCTAGGAAATAGGAACTAGGAAATACTGAACCATTGCTCCTAGGGGAAATACACACATATTTCACATGGAGTATAATCTTAGATACTAAAAGTGACTCATCCTGTTAGATTGTTGTTTTTATTTTACAAAAAAGAGAAAACAAGTTCAAAAGTATTGACTTGCCTAATGCTGTTCCCATTAGCAGATTGCAGAGTTGGGATTCAAACCCATCCAACTGGTGGCTAAGTTTCTTGAACTATATTGCGTTGCCCCGCCTTCTCCATCCTGTGGTCTTCTGTATGAGAGCTGAAACAGGAGAGCATTCTGTGCATGATCACAAATGATTGCAAATGCACATTGGGGGATTTACACATAATTTTAGTGACTACACACATTCACTAATGCAGAATTGCCATTTAAAGAGGATTTACTATAAATCACCTGAAATTTCAGATAACCACTGTTAACATTTAGATGAACACCAGTTAGGGCTAATCTTCATATGTGTTTTAAAGAATTTTTATATAAAAAATTATATGCACGTCTTATATTTTTTTAAAACCTGCTTGTTTTACTTAAAATGATACTTCTTTTAGCTTTCTACTGTACTGTTATAATTTTTAATGACTACATTGTATTTCATTGTAATAACATAGTGTAATTTATTCAACTAAGATCCTTAATGGGAAAAAAACATGCTTAATGGTTGTTTTGGTGCATATTATATAAAGTACATAAATGTTAATCATGTATACTATGTATTCATCTACTTATTATGAATTATTTATTCATTTTCCCAATAATTAGGTCATTTCTTAAATCCAGGAACTATTTGATTGTTGTATTTATATCATTGTAATTTTACTCAAGTTTTGGCACTCAAAACAATTTGAATTGAACAGAAAAGTTGTTTGAATTTCATTTATTGTCATTTTTCTTTTAGCTCTGGATGAGGGGGACATTGCCTTGCTGAAAACTTACGTAAGTCCTTAAAATGTCTAGAAAACGTAAATATTTTATGTTAAAATAAAAAAAAGTTTTGGTTTTGTTCTTCCATACTAATTAGAGGAGAATGTCAGGTAGTTCACAGTAATCTTCACTGAAAAATTAATGACCTAAGCCTGTCTAGACTAGATCAGCGCATTCAGCAATCTAAGCTGCTTATACATACTTTTTATACTTTTCATAATTAAAGTGTGGTACTACATGGGAAGATATTTGAAATAATTTACAGAAATATTTACTATACTTATTATGTATGTAACTGAGATATGAATGATAGAGAGGTTTTTTTTATTATTATTATGTATTTGTTTGTTTATTTTATGGTGCTGGGAGTTGAACCCAGGGCTTCATGCCTGTTTAGGCAAGCACTCTACTGCTGAGCTATATCCCTGGCCCTTGAAATGGAAAGTTTAAATGCATAGAAACGGATTTATTTTTATTTGTTATCTTGCATAATGGCCAATGGTCTGGGGAAAAGTAATTGACTTAGGAATACTTCTGAAAATGGTACACACTCTGTGTTTCACTTCATGGGCTTTGGGACAATAAATACTAATAAGATTGTAATTGTTAAAAAATTTTATCTGTTGTTTAGTAAATTGTTGATATCTGATCTTCATCACCCAGGGTCAGAGTACTTACTCCAGGCAGATCAAGCAGGTTGAGGATGACATTCAACAACTTCTTAAGAAAATTAATGAGCTCACTGGTATGTATTTTTTAATCCCGTTTCCTCTCTTTAAATGTAATGTGTTAATTATAGTAAGAGTTTAAATGTAAATTTTAATCTTTCATAAATTATAAATTTTAAAAGAAATTATTATTCTTCCTCTATTAAGAAATTAGATCTTACTTAACAGTCTCTTTCACTGCTTTTTTACAAGGCTTAATGCTTATGTATTAAAAAACATCATCATCCTCTAAGCAAGTGATGTTTCTGTTGATGAAGGCCTTATTTAGTAAACTCCAACAAATGCAGCAAATAAAATTTTGAATAAAAACATTATTTCACATAGTATTGCTGGAGAGTATTGCAGAGTATTGCCTGGTAGTGGAAACTTTTCTTTTTGGGAACTTTAGCAGTGAAGTTTTACATTTTTTGACCTACATGAAAGATGTCAAGTATTTCATTAAATTTTTTGGTTTGATAATTACTTTAGGGCAGTAATATTTTCAAGTTGGGCGATTTTGCCCCCCAGGCCTTTGACAATGTCTGGAAACCGTCTTGATTCTTCTGACTTGGGGGAAGGCAATATTAGTAACATCTAGTGGCTAGAGGCCAAGCATGATGCTGAACATCATACAACATATAGGATAGTCCCCATAACATGCCAATAGTGCTAAGATTGAGAAAGCTTATGTTAGGAAAATGTATTACATTTTGGTAAATTTTGTTGTTTTTCTCTCTGTAGGTATTAAAGAATCTGACACTGGCCTGGCCCCACCAGCACTCTGGGACTTGGCTGCAGACAAGCAAACTCTCCAGAGTGAACAGCCTTTACAGGTTGCAAGGTATACACAATTTTCTGTGGAAATTTATTGTTATCTAGTATTTTCTTTTTTAAAATATTAATTTTTTGGTTGTAGTTGGACATAATACCTTTTTTTAAAATTTGTGTTTTATGTGGTACTTAGGATCGATCCTAGTGCCTCATGCGTTCTAGGTGAGTGCTCTACCTCTGAGCCACAACTCCAGCCTGTATTTTCAAGCACTTTTTAGACTTAGGGATAATGCAATAGTTTATAGGGAATTTTTATTTCAAATTCTGTATAAATAAAAACTTTCTACAAAAGTATCTGGAGGTAAAATTTTATGCAATTATTCAAAAAGACGTAACGTCATAAGTAAAAGATTAAAATGATACAGAAATATGCAGAGCTTATTATTAAAACCTCCCTTCTCATCTTTGCTCTCTGATTGCCTCTTCCTTAAATGTAACTACTGAAAAGAGTTTGGTCTTCCTATTCCTCTGCATATCTTTATGTGTGTATCAGCATGTAGAGAAACAAGTGGAAGGTTTTTTAAGACATAACTACACTGGTTTGGAAATCTTTCATTATCTTTAACATAGGCGTTACATATCTTTAACATTTACTTCTTTAATTTTTTTAAAAAGGGAAAAAAGAAATAATCTGTTGATACAAGCAAGCAGTTTGTAATTTTGTTATACATAGTGCCCTAATTAAACATTTCTCTGTGTACATGCATACATTTCTTTTTTTTCTTTTTTTTTAAGAGAGAGAGAATTTTTTAATATTTATTTTTTAGGTTTTTTTTTTTTTTTTCGGTGGACACACATCTTTATTTTATTTTTATGTGGTACTGAGGATCAAACCCAGCGCCCCATGCATGCCAGATGAGCGCATTACCACTTGAGCCACATCCCCAGCCCACATGCATACATTTCTATAGGTTAGTTTACTAGAAGTGATTTATGGGGTCAGAGTCATTTACAGTTTTGAAAATCTGTGAAGCCAAGTGGTTTAACAGGTTTATACTCTTTACTTACTAAGAAGGTTTCAGTCAAATGCCTGTTTGCCTGATAGATTTTTGCCAGTTTTATAGAAATTTTTCATTTTAATTTGTATTGCACTGATTACTAGTACTTCTTATTAAACATCTGTATTTCTTTGACATGTTTTGCTCTATTGGGTTCTTATTAGATTTTAGAAACATTCATATATTGTACATATTAATCTTAAATATGTTACATTTTTCAAAGTGTGTCACTTAACTTTTTGGTATATTGCTGTATGAATGTTTTAAATTTTTAGAAGGTAAAATAAATCAGTACTTTCATTGTCCCTCTTGGATGTTGATATTGCTTAGGAAAGCCCGCTCCAATCCAAGGCTACATACATATTCTCTAATGTTTTAAAATTTTATTTTGATTCTTATTTCTTTAATACAGCTAAAAGTTGGTTTTTTTCCTTCTACCCTCCTTGTATCTCTTTCTCCATCTTTTCGTTTACTCATTGATTTTTGTTTTATCATCATTTTAAAAACTTAATAGTTATGTAATAATAGCTGTATTTTCCAATTTCTAGAGATGTTCATTTTCACTTTTTTCAGCTGATTATTTTGTTTTCTACCTTCAGGTTCTAATGAGCACATTTACTCTTTGTGTATTCTAGATTCTACATGTCAATTTTTTCTTTTTTAAGTTTAGATATTAGGTCTTGGCTTCCTACCATGGAAGATGAGGATTTTGTTTGGGTTTGGGGTTTGTTTCCTCCCCCTTCATCCTAAAGGTGTACCCTTCCTATCCCCATATCCTCCCAATATAATTACTATTTTGTAATTTTGATTAGGTAAGTTTTCAATGTTTATATAATTATATCCAAGTAAACTCTATTCACAAGGAGCCAAGTGGTAAACTATGATTACTTTTTCCTTTCTTATACCACTTTTTGTTATCCCTGTTAGAATCAACTTGTTTCCGTCCCGTTTGCCTGGTTTTCTATATACTTTACTAACTTTTGAGGTTTTTTTTTTTTTTTTTTTTCGTCTAAATTGTTCTTCAGATGCATAGATCCATCAGGTGTTTTCTCAGCTTCATCTTCCTTGAGTATTTCCTAGCACTTTCTGGCCTGCTTTATTGCCCACCCCTAACTTCTCATTTTCAATAAATTTACCCAAGCCTTCCTCTGGCATTCCTTGCTACCCCATTTTACTTTCTACAGAACAGCGTTTAACAAACTTTTCATAAAGGGCCAAATGGTAAATATCTTTGACTTATTTATTTATTTATTTTTATTTTTACATACATGACAATAGTGTAATGCATTACACTCAATATTACCCATTTACAGCATAGTTTTTCATAACTCTGTATAAAAGTATGTTCATGCCAAATTATGCCATTATACATATATGTACTCTTTTTTTTTGCATTACAATTCTTAATACACATATATACCACAATTTATCATATCTCTGTATATAAGTTATGTTGACACCAAATTCAAATCTTCATACATGTGTTTTGATGTGTCCAACTACAACTAAAAAATGATGCACATGTGGTAAATGAGAGAAGAATCAAGAAAAATTGAATCCTAAAGGAAAATGAAGAAGGCAGACATCAGTTATCTAATGATGACTATCACCTTCCACCATCCTTGCTATTCCCCTTCCCTTTCCCTCCCACCCCTTTTCCCTATCTAGAAATAATCTTCCTCCCATGCTCTCCCTCCCTACCCCACTTAAATTGATATAATCAGAGAGAAATCAAACTAATTGTAGATATTCATGTTTAAAAACAAGCAGGATTTGGCCCACAAGTAATTGGCTGATTTCTACTCTAGAGAGTAGAGGTAATCTTTTGTCTATTCAAGGGAAGTACAGGCCACATCTTCTGCCTTCACCTGCATCCTATCTGGTCTCTGAGCCTTTGCTGAATTTGACCTAATCAAGGAAGATGTCTGCCTTCTTCATTTTCCTTTAGGATTCAATTTTTCTTGATTCTTCTCTCATTTACCACATGTACATCTGTTTTCTACTTTACAAAATTTAGTTGTGTATGGTCTCTTTAATATGTTTATTTCCCTTTTTTTTCTTTCTTTTTTTTTTTAGTTGTAGTTGGACACAGTACCTTTATTTTATTTGTTTATTTTTATGTGCTGCCGAGGATGGAACCCAGTGCCTTGCACATGCTAGGCAAGTGCCTTACCGCTGAGCCAAACCCCCAGACCTGTTTATTCCCTTTTAAAAATTCCTTTCTGGTTCTAGTGGCATTATGTTTAAAGAGGAAAAAAAAATGGATGCTTGCATTGAATTTTTTGTGTTCAACCACAGGTCCTTGGAGGTCTTTGTTGTTTTCGTTTTTTTAATATTTATTTTTTAGTTATAACTGGACACATATCTTTCTTTCTTTATTTTTTTTAATTTATTTATTTTTCTTTCTTTATTTTTACATGATGCTGAGGATCGAATCCAGGGCCTCACACATGCCAGGCGAGCGCTCTACCGCTGAGCCACAATCCCAGTCCTGTTTTAGTTTTTTTAATATGATGTGAGGTAGGATGCTAGCTTAACTTTTTTCTGACTAAGATAGCTGTTTTCTCAGTGCGTGAGGCACTGGGTTCGATCCTCAGCACCACATAAAAATAAAATAAAGATATTGTGTCCACCTATAACTAAAAATTTTTTAAGAATCAGTAGCAGTAAAAATGTATTTAAAGAAAAAACTCATGAAAAAATGAAAACACATTTACTATTGAATTTGACATGAGATAATATGACTGTCTTCTTTTAGGAAAAATAAGAAGGAAATCAAGATACAAAGGGGTATCCCTAATAATAAATAGGAAAAAAAAATCAAGAAATTTGAGAACTTCCTAATAAAATGTTTGGATTTAATTTTCCAGGGGTATGATCATTTGAAAATTTGGTTGCCTGGCTAAAATTGAGTGGATCCTTGGGGCTGAGCATAGAATGGAATCTTTAACAGTGGCCCAGTTTCTACAGTTCAGTTCAACATTATACTTGCTCATTAGTGTCCTACGTGTCCTGATAATCTAGTTACTTGAATTCATTATTAGTGGTTTAGATTTCATACTCTAATCAAGCCTTTTGCTGTGTTAGGTGTACAAAGATAATTAATGCTGATTCAGAGGACCCAAAATACATTATCAATGTGAAGCAGTTTGCCAAGTTCGTGGTAGACCTCAGCGATCAGGTGGCACCTACTGACATTGAAGAAGGGATGAGAGTTGGGTAAGATTTCTATTTACAATAAATACGCTTCTTTTATTAAAGACATCAGGTCACATTCATACCTTGGCTTTGATATGAATGAATGAATACAGTGCCATGTATTAATAATAATATAGTACAGTTGAACAGCCTTTCTTTTCCATCCATCTACTCCCTAACTTCCTATCATCTTCCCTGCTTTCCACTCTTAACTTTTGCTTTTTTTGTGTGATTTCAAATGTCATAAAGCAAGTACATAATTTTTACAGTTGAATTTACTGGTCCATTTAAGGTAGGTAACATGGTATAAGTAGAGGAGGTACTTGCTTAAAGAGAGTTACAAGGATTGAGGTAATGTCTATAGAATACATAATAATCCACTCAGTAAATTTTGTAAAATTTTCCCTTCCCCTTTGGGTCTAGGGTTTCATTGCACTTGTGTAGGTTGTTTGCCATGTCAGGCTGGTGTTTTAGTGTCCTAACTTTTAATGTTTCTCTTTGCATAACTGTGTTTCTCTTGCTTGCTTAAAAGTATGGTTTGAGGATTAAAGACTAAACATAAAGGCCCTTAGAAAGCTTAAAGAATGTGTTACTGAGTATGTTTTTTACCTCCTTAGTGTGGACAGAAATAAGTATCAAATCCACATTCCACTGCCTCCTAAGATTGACCCAACAGTTACCATGATGCAGGTAAGAAACTCTGGGAGGGAAAACAATTGGTTGGCATGGCTTCTAATACAATTGCATTCATTATTCCCAAAATTTAAGTATCTGGGCATGTATCAAAAAATTGCCAAAAATTTAAAAATAACTTTTCAGACGAGATAGTCCTTATCAACCTTTATTTTACTTGTTTGTCTTACTTGTTAATGTCATAAAGATATTGTGTCCACCTATAACTAAAAATTTTTAAAAAATCAGTATCAGTAAAAATGTATATATAGAGCAAATAATTCTAGGACACTGGGCAATGTACTCCATTTTTATTAAAATTCTTGTTTATAAGTCTGATTTTTCTTTTATTATATTGAGTCTACTGTACTGGACTAGTTAATCAAAAGTCAGTAATTATTTATGAAGCAATGTTATTGCTCTCTTAGGTAGAGGAAAAACCTGATGTCACTTACAGTGATGTTGGTGGTTGTAAGGAACAGATTGAGAAATTGAGAGAAGTGGTTGAAACCCCACTACTTCATGTAAGTAATTTCAATATTGCATTCACATTTTTGTGTTAGAAAGATGTAATAATCTTTTGTGTATTGAGCACTAAAATTGGTTACATATTAGAAAGCTGTTAAGGTTAATATTTTCCTGAATGAAAATTTTTGAAAGGGTGGGGAGGTAAATTACAGTATGTGAGGCACTGGGTTCGATCCTTAGTACCACATAAAAATGAAACAAACAAAACGATCAAAAAGGATGAAATGATTAATTTGTATTTAAAAAAAGAAAGACCTACTATTTAGATCAGTAAAGGAAATTGAGATGTTACCTCTAGCACTAGGTTAAATATGTTATAGGTTAATTATAGAAGAAACTACGTATACTAATGACATCAAGAGGAAAAAAATTAAACTTAGATCATGAAAAATTAGGTATTAAATACCAGATAATACTTTCATTCTTTAAACACTAATTTTTCTTAAGGAAAAAAAAAGGAAAATGTTTTGTTCATAACTGTTCATAAAAGTTCATAAAGCACCTTTAAAAACCATTCAGGATGGGCTGGGGATGTCACTCGGTGGCAGAGTGCTTGCCTAGCATGTGTGAGGCACTGGGTTCGATCCTTACCACCACATAAAAATGAAACAAAACAAAGGCATGCTCTCCATCTACAATTACCCAAAACAGCAACAACAACAAAAATTCAGCCTTAAATGTTGGTAAGAGTCTATTTTACATATTATAGGTAAAGTAATATTTCTTATTTATATCAAATTATAAATTATGGGCCTAATATTGATGTAGACATAGTCTTATTTTTATTATACGGAAATGATAAATGAAAAAATTCTGTCTCTGTCAACAGCCAGAGAGGTTTGTTAACCTTGGCATTGAGCCTCCCAAGGGTGTGCTGCTGTTTGGTCCCCCAGGCACAGGCAAGACACTCTGTGCCAGGGCAGTTGCTAATAGGACTGATGCTTGCTTCATTCGAGTTATTGGATCCGAACTTGTACAGAAATACGTTGGAGAGGTAAAGTAAATTCATCAAAATCAAAGAATATATAAGTCTGTTGAAGATGAATGAAATTAAAATAGTAATTCACATTTTATTATGAGGGATTGAGGACTAAAATTTCTTGAGTGTGATTGTAATTGGTGATTGAGAAATCCAGAAGTCAGCAACCTTCACTTGTGGTCATTTGGAAAAAGACAACTATTTATAATTTGACAAAGATGCCCAGGTGCAGTGGTGTACCCCTGTAATCCCAGTGACTTGGGAGGCTGAGGCAGAATGATCGTGAATTCATGGTCAAACTCAATAAGTTAGCAAGGCCCTCAATAGCTTATTGAGACCCTGTTACACAATAAAAAATAAAATGACTTGGGGATGTGGTTCAGTGATTAAACGTCCCTGGGTTCAATCCCTGGTACAAGGATTACACGTTATACAAATCTGGTTTGTGAGACAAATGACCCAGAAATGCTTTGTGAATAAAATTTTATTTCAGGGACAGTGTTTTATGGTCTAATAAGAAAAGGAGAACATCAATTGCGTATATGTATGTATGTGTATATATATATATATGCACCTCTATATATTTAGGCACTAACTAGGACTATGAAACCTATTAATGATAAGTATACTTGAAATAAGAATTAGAAAAGGAGCCACACAAAGTTGAGATATACTTTGATTTTCTGATCCATGTTCATAAGTCAAATTTGATAATTAGCAATTCCAAGTGATAGAGCAGATGCTTTTATTTCCTTAAGTTAGTATTATTTAACAGAATCATGAAAAATTAATATTGTTTTGAGGCTAATAAGATCAATTTGATGTTAGTAGTAGCAAACTTCAATCTTTAAAAAAGATTTAGGTAAAGATGGTTGAGAATACTCTTTAAGAGTTTAAGTAGTGAAACTTTTGAAACATAACTGTGTACTTTATGTTAAAAGATTTAAAAACCAACTCTGAATTAATAAATTAGTTTTTCTCTTTAGGGGGCTCGAATGGTTCGTGAACTTTTTGAAATGGCCAGAACAAAAAAAGCCTGCCTTATCTTCTTTGATGAAATCGATGCCATTGGAGGTATGAATGGTATTTTAAAGAAATTCTTTAGGATTGGAGTTCATAAGAGCTCTAAAGTGATATGTGTTAAAGTTCTATTATGTTCATCTTGTGCAAAATTTTAATTCTGACTCCTTTATGAGCTCTGGGACCTTTAAACCACAGATCTGCTTAAGAGTAGGGCTAAACCATAAAGGAAAAAAGAAATACTATATAGTATTGACATTTTTCAAAGCCTTTATTTTTGTACCGTATCATTATTGTGACACATATTTCTGCACTTGCATTAATAACTCCTACATTGAGATGAGTTGTCTCTTAATGTGAAAGCTCTTTGTTATAATTTGATTGGTGGTGATTATTTTAGTTTACATAAGTTAGCCTCATAGATTTGATGAGATACAGTATTAGTAGTCTAGGTAACTTATTTTAACTAAGCTTCAAGCTCCAGATTGCTCAAATTATAAAGGAAATGATAATTCCTGCCTTATGGGTTTTTGAGAGGTTAAAATTAAGTAATGAATGTGATAGACTTTGAAAACACTCAACTCTCCTATAGGCATTGACTGTTGTTGTAGTCTTTAATACTCCTTAGTGGCTGGAGAAGTATCACATTTCCATGTAGTTAATTGTTATTTAATAAACTGAATGACAAAAATGACTTGAACTATTTGGGTAATGATGTTAGGTGGTTTTAGATTGCATGGGCATTGTTGGGTTTGGACATTGTGCCACTAATGTTTTCAAAGGCCATTATTTGGCTGCAGTGTAATGATGTGTAGTGTTCTACTCTAATATCATCTATAACAAACCTTATAATGTCAGGGTACTTTGAGGCTCTGGTTTCCAAAGTAGATTGTGTAGAAAAACATTGTTTTAGGGTATAGGAAGCAAACACTAAAACTTCCTTTTGTATTTTTAATCTTTATTTAAATGTCCATTTTTGGTGTTTTATTAATGTATACATTAATAATATGTATTTATATAACTTACAAGTAAAAAAAGTATATTTGCAGGCTATTTTTTCCCCCATTTTTGCTATTCTGGTTGAAATAAGACATGAGCCTAGAGTAATTTCATATATCATTCAGCTTCATAATAAACTGCTGTGGTTTATTATATTATTTAGACATTTTAAAGGAAAATTTTGAGAAAATTAAAATAGTATGATAATTTGATAATATAGTCAAACATCCATGATAGTGCTTAAGTTGCCTTAACCAAGTATCAAACAATAGAGGTGGTTAAGTGATTTATAAACAAAATTCCTTAAAGGTCTTCAAAATACTGTAAAGGAGCCAAGCATGATGGTGCACCCCTTTAATTCCAGCTACTCATGCAGTAAGGTAAGAATACACAAGTTCCAGGAGACTCAACAACTTAGCGAGACCCTATCTTAAAATTAAAAAAAAAAAAAGGTACTGGTACTGGTGATGTATCTCTGTGGTAAAGTGCCCCTGCATAATTCCCACGACCTAAATTAATTATAATTAAACTTTAAAGGAGACAATGTTAAGTAAATCTGTGGTGAATTCTTTTAAAAGCAAAGATTCACTTTCTAATTAGTTTTGTGTACCTGATTTGCTTCAAAGTAAGATGTGCATTTGTGCTAGAGGTAATTTGAGCTGAGACTGACAGTACCATTAAGTAGTGCTACTACTCTTGGTTCTCTTGGTGGACATGAAATGTTTTTCTCTTGTTTTCTTAGGGGCTCGGTTTGATGATGGTGCTGGAGGTGACAATGAAGTACAGAGAACAATGTTAGAACTGATTAATCAGCTGGATGGTTTTGATCCTCGAGGCAACATTAAAGTGCTGATGGCCACCAATAGACCTGATACTCTGGACCCAGCACTGATGAGGCCAGGGCGATTGGATAGAAAGATTGAATTTAGCTTACCTGATTTAGAGGTAAGAAAATTATTTCATTTTAGAAAAGGAATTCTTGAGTTTTTTCTGTGTTCCCCCCCCATTTTAATACTTTGTCGATTCCTTCATTTTTAGGGTCGGACTCACATCTTTAAGATTCATGCTCGTTCAATGAGTGTTGAAAGAGATATCAGATTTGAATTGTTAGCACGACTATGTCCAAATAGCACTGGTAAGAGAAAAGGTGTTGTTTATTTTGCCAGTCTGTCTGTTTGGGCTACCATAATTAAGCGTTTCTTTTCTTTTTGTTTAACAGGTGCCGAGATTAGAAGTGTTTGCACAGAAGCTGGTATGTTTGCAATCCGAGCACGGCGAAAAATTGCTACTGAGAAGGATTTCTTGGAAGCTGTAAATAAGGTCATTAAGTCTTATGCCAAATTCAGTGCTACTCCTCGCTACATGACATACAACTGAGCCTCAAAGGCTTTCAAATGACAACTTCAGTTAGAATCTTAAGACTTGTTAGTACCACCTCACAAAAAAAAAAAATAAATGGTTTAAAAATTGTATGCTTTTCCCCCCAGATCTCTTTTTTTCCATAGTGTAAGTTATTGGTATATAGGCAGAAAAGCTTGTTACAATGTATGTTGACTTGTTTTGATCCACCACCATTTAAAGGCTTCACATTATTATATAAAGTGCTTGCTTAAACTATATATATTCTAGGGTTATGATGGCTGGTGGCTATATCATTATATCCTCCCATCTCCCCAGTGAAGAAGATGAAATGGATCTTGAATTAACAGATGCAAAAACTTTTCCTTCCTAATTTACTCATTGGTAGGGCTGGGATTCAAATCTAAGTTTGTTAGCTCCTTTACCTATGCACCTATTTTGCTCTTCTGCCCTCCATTAAAATAGGTCATCTACATATTGACCACATGCATTATGATAGTTTTCCTCCACCATGTTGAATAATAAACTTTTGGCCAAACCTTTTTTAAAGTGAAAAAAAATAATTTGATAAATATTTTGCTTTGCTGTTTGGCTGATTTCAAATTATCCCAGAATTGGTGATTTTTTGTATATATGACAGCGGAATGCATTACAATTCTTATTACACATGTAGGGCACAATTTTTCATATCTCTGGTTGTACACAAAGTATATTCACACCAATTCGTATCTTCATACATGTGCTTTGGATAATAATGATTGTCACATTCCACCATCATTTATAACTCCATGCCCCTCCCCTCCAACCCCTCTACCCTATCTAGAGATCATCTATTCCTCCCATGCTCCTTCTCCCTGTCCCACTATGAATCAGCCTCCTTATATATAAAAAAAAAAAAAAATTGAGCATTTGGTTTTTTGGGATTGGCCAACTTAGCATTATCCTCTCTAATTTCATCTGTCAGTGGTGATTTTAATAAACAGTGAAGTAGTAGCAGGTAAAATAGAAATAAAAATGTACACATAATTAATTTAGAAAATCCAGAGTTGGTTTCATTCATCGAAGTGGTTATTTTCAGTTTATAAATTTGTGCCTTAAAATTTTGGTAAACTTCTATAGTGAGGTATAAATATAGGTTCCATTAGAATTCCCAGTAGATCTCTTAGAATTACTTCTTATGCAACTACCACCAGATCCCCTTTTCTACCACAGTTACCTGTAGTCCCCTAAGTACTGAAACCAAAGCACAATAGTCAATGTTTTTATTGAATTTCAGTATTCATAAATAAATTGAAAATAGTGAGAGCTGGATAAATGTTTAAGTCACAAAAAATGTTGACAGCATAGAAACTGCTTGTTATACTGAAATATTAATGAAAGTTTTCAAATAGAAAAGTTAAAGTCCTTCATTTGTAAAATCCAACTAATATTTTCTTGATTTTTGATCAGAAACATTCTTTTTTCTAACCCTGTCCTAGTCTTTCTTGAGGTATAAAATAGAACAAACCATTTCCAGGTTTTGCTTACAATAAAATGTACTCAAGTAAATGAGTGGAGATGTACTTTTTTGAATGTTTTGATTAAATAAATTTTAAGCATTTAGAACATTCTGATCTTCCCCCTTTTTCATATAGCCATATACTCATGTACACCAAGGCAACATTGTACACATAGGCCTAACATTGATGAAAACTAAATAATCTTGACATTTTTGTTTTTTTAGAAACATGAAAAGTCCATATGACTACATTAAATACTCAAAAGTTATTTGAAAAATGATTCTGCCTAGGCATATGTATGCAGATAGCATCAATACTACCTAGATTAGCATGTTTGTACCTTTTAAAAAAATAAAATACACATTTACTAGTAACTCCTATGTAAAAAATATATGAATGCATATATAGATAATTCTTGATTTTTTTGACTTTACAATGGGGCAAAAAGCAAAACACATTAAGTTTTCCCTGGCAGTATGCAATATGATACTTTCATGATACAAGGCAGCAGCCAGTCACAGCTCCCAATCAGCCACACAATCGTGAGGGCAAACAACTGATGCTCTCTCTATAGTGAACTGTGACCTACGATGTTTAGTAGGGTAGGTCTATTAAGTGCATTTCAGTTTACAATATTTTCAGTTTATGATGGATTTATCGGGATGTAACCCCATCATACGCCAAGGAGCTTCTGTACATATGTGTATAGATGTGCATATATATATACATATATGTGTGTGTGTATATATATATACATATTAAGGACATATACACATGCACACACGTGTATCAAAGTGTTGATAAATTGAGATGCACAGGGTTATGACATAAGAAAAATATATTGAATTCCTTTAAAAAGATGCTTTAATATGTAAAAATTGTGATTAGATTTTGTAAAGAAAAACATTTCTGGAATCCTTGGATTCACTTATTGCATAAAGTGAAATACCAGCTAGTATAAGAAAACTGGCAAGCCTTTCTTGAAGACAAGATGGGTTTTTAAGATGTTCAAACTTGATTGAATCCAAGTAAATAAGTTAGCTAGTGTATTGTGAATTTTTGACTTTTTTGTTGGCAGGACTTGAGGGGTTTCAAAACTATTGTATGCATTTTGGTTCGCTATATTTTTGGAGAATTAGAGAATACTTTTATCAGTTTTCAAACTTACCAGCATTTAAAACATTATCAAGAATCTAAACATGCTGAATCTTACAAGCATTCCTGAAAGGTGCATTAAAAAGACCAACAGCATTTTTGCACTCACTAAAAGCACATAAAATCACACCAAGGAAGTTTAGTTTTGTTTTAGAATTTAAATTAATTTACTATTTTTCAAGGGCACACATAAAGATAAGGCCTTCCCCACCATGTACCCTTCCCTCCCATTTTCCCTCCCACATCCCACACACAAGGGCATACCTCCCCCCCACTCCCCAACACACAGAAAAACCACCTATACTCCAGGGCAGCAGATTTTCTGGGTTTGCTACCTTTTCTTCATGCACACAGTAGGGCAGATTTCATTTTCTTAAATATTTGGAGGCAAATACCTCCTTTCTCTGCTAAACAGGTAAGGCTACAGAATTAAATCACTTGGAATGGATATTTTAGACATTACCTAAAAACTACAAAATGAGCTGCTTTCAGGGATTGAAGAGGATCAAACACCCTTCACTGATTTCTGAGTCCCACTCCAGATGAGATCAGCAATTGGGATCCCATTGTCAACTACCATATGCTTTTATAGAGTCAATGTCCATGACATGCATTGGAATTTTCTTGGCCCTGGCCTAATAATTGTTTTCAAATTTATTCCATACATCCATAATGCAGAGATCAACCACTGTTATATTTTTGAGAAATCTCGACAAAGGACTTCTCTATGAGATTTTCCTGAAAACAGGGTTTCCCCATATTGCCATAAAATAAGGTTACTCTAGGGCCTGTAACTATGTGGACAATACCCGTTTTGATTGGGCAATATAAATCTTGAGTTTAAATCAGGACTGAAAACCATAGTCAACATACATTAGCAGCTATTAATGCCCAGAACAAACGAGTGAGTTTACATATTAATTTCTTGAAAGAGAAAACTAAGCCAAAAAAAGGTCAGCAAATAAAAATTTTAAAAAAAGGTTAGGATGTTTTCCACTGTGTGAAAAATTCAAGTAAAACATTCAGACATATTTACATATAGATGTTATTTTCTGAAACACTATCAGATACATTCAACAAAAATATTTTCCCACTTTCAATAAATGCTTCTTATGTAAATGTGTACCTGCATTCAAACAGGTTAAAAATTAGAGAACAGAAAAGTAAAGTATAAATACTATTTGTACACTACATTTATTAGCCACTAGGATAATGGGCATTGTCCACATTATCTACTGTGTAGAAGGAATTTGTTGAAGACTGGTGCTAAAGAATAAGCAATGAAGTATTTTATAATATTGTTTAAACTCTATTACACTGAAATTATTTGGGCCATTTTACAAAAGTTTTTAGTATAAACTGAAGTTCTACAACTATGTGCTCTTTCAGAAGGCAGTCTGTCAGAATGCAGATGTATCTGATCTTGCATATGATGATTACAAAGGAAATAACTGGATGCAAATCTAACTTCATTCTAGGTTGAGATAAAGAATTGATTAAAAAAGAGGGCTCTACTTTGAATCAAATTAGTACACTCACTGAGAAACCTAACATATTATGCTATCCTTTTAGGGTCTGACTACTTTCCTTCATGAAAACTGAAACAAGGAGGCAGTAAGAAAACAGAAAAAGACTTAGCAGTAACTCTTATCAGAGAAGCTTCAGACATGTTGGCTAATGCCTGTGCTTTGTGAGGTGGTAATTAGATAATAGAAGGAACTATAGGAGCAAGAACTACTGATGACTAATTGGTTTAAATGCCCTGTCCCTCAACCTCTGAACATTCCACATTTCTGTATCAACTATAAAATGTCATTAAGATTAGCATTTTCCTCACTGGCAAAAAACTGAGTTTGACAGATTTTAACTGATAACTGTTATCAACTTCTAAGGAAGATATTAAATTATACCTGGGCCTTCCTTAGCTTTCTTAAAAACCATAGTCTTTGAGGCTACTTCACTATTAACAACAACAACAAAACTTCTAGGGAATTCTATGGGACATGGTTGTGACAATGTATCATCATAAAGAAAATGATAGTGTGAAATATTACTAACAAAATCTCAAGTCTACAATTTTACTAAAAAAGAGAAATATATAAAAATCCTAATTTGTCACATCTAGTAAACCAATTCCTTATTTTAAAGTTGATAATTAAATGGAAATAAAGCATTATCCTGCCTTACCTGTAAGAACTGTATTTAAGGATGACCAAATGCTCCAAGTTGAGGGAAAAATATAATTTACATAGATTAACCAACTAATAAATGCAGAAGAAATGAGAGAACTACAAAAAAATTCACAAATGTAATACAATTATTGATTTAGGCAAGGACTATCCCCTGATGTTACAATTTCTGAATCAGTTGTTAGTGGAGAACTAGATATTGTTCAATGCAAAAGAAACCATATGGATAACACTGTTGTCACAAAGGGGAAAACCAATAGGAGGACCGGACTGTCATGCTGATCCAGAGATCTATATTAATACTGTTAGTGGTAGATGAACTAGAAGTTATGTTTTCTGATGTGATGCAAAATGAAGCATGGATCTTATCTACAATATATCTCTCATATCTATGTTTAACTCAAATCCATGAACCTTTAGGTGAAACTTTCAGACTGTAGGTAGTATAGAGAATAGAGAAACAAACTAACATTGTGGGAAAAAAAACTAGACAAACTTATAAGACAGAATTTTTTTGTGTGTGTGTGGTGTTGGGATTGGACCCAGGAGCACTTTACTAGTGAGCTACATCCTTGTTCTTGTTTCTTATTTTAAGACAGGGTCTTATTAAATTATTGAGGCTGGTCTCAAACTCAAGATCCTTCTGGCTCAACTTCCCACCTTGCAGAATTATAAGCGTGTGCCATCAAACCTGGCCACAAGATGGAATTATATAAGACAACTTTTCCCCAGTCTTTTTAACAAGTAAATATAATGAAAAAAAGGAACCATGCTAGGTTAAAATAAGATTTAAGGGATATGACCAGGTACAATGTAAAAATCACAGAATGAATACCAGTTTAGACAAATCAACTGCAAATTTGGGGACAGCCAGGAAACTGGAATATGGTCTGAGGTTAAAAAATGTTCTGGAATAGAATGTGGAGATTGCTGACAAAAAAAAGAAAAGACTACAAAACACTAGGCAGATATGATCTTGTTTTGTTAAAAATGTGAATATATATGCATAGAAAAAATCCAGAAGGATATGTATGCATTGAGCCGTCAATAGTGGTCATCCCTGAGTGGTGGTAATACAATGTTTTTATTTTCCTATTTTGCTTATCTATTTTTTTTTTCAAAATGTCCACAATGCACTTCTATCTCTTCTGTAATGTTAAAAGGTTATCTTAAAACAAGAACTTCTAGAAAATTATAGATTTCCTTTTTTGGATAGGTAACTGATTATAGACAATCTGTAGCCAAACAACTACAAAACCTAGGTACCACTGCCCATCTAGTGACAGTATATCCTATTTGTAGCTACAGTATTTAAAATACTTTAAAATAAATTTTTAAGTGCTTGGCTTGCAGGGATAATACTAAAAACTATAATAGAAATATCACTGCACAAAAAGCACATTGCAAGAGTATTCAATTTAAAAAACACACACAAGTAGATACATCATGCTACACATCATTCACCCTCCAAATCAAGCCATAACTACTAGTATTACTCTTAGGGAAAAAAAAAATCTAGGTTCTAGTATTTCAAAGTACAAAGTAGGAATTTCTCAAGAGAGGCATCCATCCCAGGCCGAGGTCCTCGTCTATGCTTCAGGTGTGGTTGGAGTGGCATTGGGCTCCAAGTCCTCCTGGGGAGGGGGAGCTGAGGCTTCTTGTTCAGCAAGTGCCTCTCGGACTTGGCTGCCCAGAACTGCATCATGGATGCTATAGAATAGCAGCTCCTTTAAGGCAGGATTTTCAAAAAATCTATTTCGAGTGAGATCATTCACAACTTGCGCTATAAAAAGAACAGAAAATTATTCCATGAATGCTATATTACGTCTCACTCCAATCCCTGTGTTCATCACATCACACCTCCAGGCCCAGGAAACCTTTTTATTTCTTCTTGTGTAATCATCCAGGATTTCTCTATGCAAATATAAATAAATAGAAATATATATTCTCATTTTCTCCCTTTTATTACCTAAAAGGTATACACTATATTATTCTTGCCTATTTTTTATTTTTTATTTTTTTCCTACCACTACATGCTGTTCTAATGTATAGATATACCCCAGTTTATTTAACTGGTCCCTTTTGTTTGATATTTGAGTTTCTTTTCCATTCTCTTGTTTTTATAGACAACCTTGTGATGAACAACTATGTAGATGTGCCATTTTGAATGCGTGCAGCATGGGTTTGCTTCACTAAAAGGCAAATACCTCTGTATTTTCAATAGATAATGCTGGTCTGCCCTCCAAAGGGGCTGTTTTGCACTTAACACCAGTTACATGCCTATTTTTCTACCAGATTCCTATGAAGCAAGTGGTCACATTTTTCTTTTTCTTTTTGTCAACCTGACAGGTGAAAAATTATGTGTTTAGGCAGATTTAATTTTCAAGTACTGTTTAACCAAAATATAATATAAATAAAAATAGCAGGCAAAGTATTCCAAAACTATTGGATGGAAGGCAACCAGAATGATTTTATAAAATGTTTATGGCAGCCACTGATAATAAGCAATGGTTTATCAGCTGCTTCCCTCCAACACCTGTTCAGAGAGATGAATGCCTGTAAGTGGCTAATTTCAAAGCTGGCTTTACAGTGACTTTTGAGAAGAATGATTTTCATTTTTATAAAAAAATTAAAGTACAGAAAATAATTTTAAAGGCAGTTCTTAAAGAAAACTAAAATGTTAAGACATTCCTAAAGATATACTCACCACTGCATCCTGCTAAATATACATAAATACTGACGTCTCCATATTCTTTTACAATCTGTAATAATGTTGAAATAAAGATTAGTTTCTCTTGACTCTATGCCAGATGCAAGTCATTTTCTACCAATACGTATTTAAGAGATATGAGTCTAATTCACTCATTGAGCTACCTTTAGCTTTAATATTTATGCCTTATTGAGCTAATCACTTAAAAGTAATTCTGTACTTCTTTTGCTTTGCATATAGTGATAATGAGGGGTATCAAAAATATTGTTTTACTTTGGTGTAATAAATGTATTATGGTAATGATTTTTTAGAAAGAATCTTCTTATAGACAAATACTGAAATATTTACAGATGAAGTGATAACTCAGTCGTACTTCAAAATAAGAGAACAGAAAATGGGTGTCTGGTATAAATGAGATCAGATTGGTCATAAGTTGTAACCATTAAAGCTGAGTGATAGGTACATGGGATTCATTTTATTCATTTATTTATATGCAGTGCTGAGAATTGAACCCAGTGCCTCACACATGCTAGGCAAGAGCTCTACACTGAGCTACAACCCAGCCCCACATGGGATTCATTATACTTTTTTTTTTGTATTGAGGATTGAACTCAGGGGCACTTAACCACTGAGCCACATTCCCAGTCCTTATTTTGTATTTTATTTAGAGACAGGGTCTCACTGAGTTGCATAGTACCTGTTGCCGAGGCTGGCTTTGAACTTATGATCCTCCTGACTCAGCCTCCTGAACTGCTGGGATCACAGGCTTGTGCCACCATGCCCAGCTTTTACTTTTGTATGTTTAATTTACTTTCCATAATCAGTTGAAAAAAAAAACAACAACAACAAATTTTAAGAGTTTTAAGAGCTGAAAGGACTCTCATCTATTTTCTGATGTGACTTATGGAGACCCTGGACATGGAGAAATTACTTGGTTAAGGTGATGCTCACCCCCGCCAGGGTTTTCACTCCCACAGAATCGATAAAATTGACTTGAGTAAAATCCAGGATGATGGTGTGAATATTATCCCCTGGGGGCATAAACCTCTGCAGTTCTTCAGGAAATGTGTTTTTGATGACTATCGGGGGATATTTGACTTCATCATCCTCTTCTTCAGGCTTAGTTCCATCCTCTCCATCTACTTCTGCATCCTATGTCAAAAATGAAACCAACCCAGAATTATATGAACATTTTTGGTTGTTAGAAAGATTTATAATGGAAAATAAGCCCTTAATTCTCAACTCACAGATTATATAAGATCCCTTCTAAAATATTTGTCATTCCAGCCTTGAGATATGACAAAAAGAATATGTATATAATACTTAGGGTTAGTTCAGTTTCTTTTCATCTCTTTCTCCTTTTAAAAATAACTTTATTTTGTTTGTTTATTTTTTCATGTGGTTCTGAGGATCAAACCCAGTGCCTCACAAATGCTAGGTGAGTATTCTACCACTGAGCCACAACACCAGCCCTCTTCTTTTTTATTGGTTCACTAAAATCTATACTCCTTAGTCCTCTTCTCCATTTTCCCCTCACTTCTAAAGTAGTTCCATTAACTTCAGCATGACAGGTCACAAGTTACCATAAGTCTGAATAGCAAAAGCCTTTGAGCTTTTTACTATCAGCTGAATAAGTCTGTGACAAAGTATGAATGGTAAAATTTACCAAGGTACTGTGTGATTTTTAACCTTGAAAACAACATTTTCACTCTTTATTACAGACATATCTTCAAACTGACCTTATTACATACTTTTAGTACATGAGATACTTAGATTCTAAGTTTTTCTATTTTAGTGACTTTATGCTGTGTATAGACGTTAACCACAGGTAAAGATGGAGGTCACTGTGGACCAAGAGAAATGGGAAAAGAACACTCACCGCCTTGACCATAATTGCGTTGGCCATGTTTGCATTTCCGACTTCCTTAGCATACTTCCTCATGGCCTTTCTCCTGGCTCCCATTATGACTGCTGGGTTCACTCCAGTCTTTACAGAAGAGCAACATATAGAAATCACTTTTAGGCTCCCAGAGACATACCACATATTATCCATCTTCCAATCTCCCCCATTTAACCCATTTCTGTGCTTGATGACCACCCCAAATTCTTATTCTACTTTTCCCTCAGATGTCCTGAGCTACTCCCTAAGAAAACATTAGTAGCCTTTCTTAGTCTTTATTCAAGATAACTAGAAGCTTTGTGTGTTGATGGCCAGTGTAGGGTTGATTTTCACTCATACCAAAGGAATTCACCTGATCCCCAAAGTAGGAAATCTAAGACTTCTATTTTCACTTTCTTTTCTTAAATGTTTTTCAAAAAGGGAACATATGCATATGATAAGAGAGAAGGAATGGTAGTAATGGTTGTACAACATGAGAAAGTATTTAATGTCACCCACTGGATTGTACACTTTAAAATACTTAGATTTTATCTTATGTATATTTTACCACAGTTTAAAAGAGAGGGGAGGTAAAGGGGAAAATAGTCTAATAGTGTATACTGAGACATTTAAGTGACCCTCCCATTCCTGCCAATTCACCCATCCCCTCCCCAGAAAGGATCACTCTGAATCTCATGGGACTCACCTTTCTTTTTAATGCGTTGCTATATAAGTCACTATTTGCATAGTAAATGGGGGCATTTATTTGGAATATTTTAATTCCAGGAATTTCTTTCACCTGAGAAATAAAATATTAGTGAATTTAACACTTGGATATATTTCATAATCAAAACTGCAATTTTCTGCCTCCTTCAATGTAAAAATGAATACAGAAGCTGGGAATGGCCCTCTTAGTGTGTTGGGATAAAATGATGTCACTATATCTACTCAGGCTTTGTAAGGAAAAATCTTGAGAATAAAAAGTTTTTTAAAAATATATTTATTATTGCATTATAGTTACACATAATAGTGGGGTTCATTTTGACACATCCATAAATGCATATAATTTGCTCCCTTTCAATCCTTGGTACTTCCCTTTCCTTCTCTTTCTTTTATGTATAACTATAATGCACCAATTTAAAAAAACAATAAATAAATGGAAGAAAAAATTTTTTGAGCCAGTCTCTATGTTGCCCAGGCTAGTCTTGAACTCCTGGGCTCAAGTGAGCCCCTGCCTCAGCCTCCTGAGTATCTGAGACCACAGGCACATGCTTCCAAACCTATCTTGAAAGTCTCTAAAAATGTACATATTCCCATTTCTCTAACAATCTGTCTTTGTTTCATTTTTACCATTAAACACAAAGAAGATGGAGAAGATGGAACTGATAATCATTCAAAAAAAGAGAAAAGAAAGTGGATAGGAGGGGAGCTGCAGCAAGATGGGGAGAAGTAGGCTAACAAAGCAAACAGAGGTTGGCAGTGGTGTGACCCACAGACTGCAGGAAGGAGCCAGTGTGGACACAGGCAACACAGAGGGACCTTTTTACTGAAAAGCCTAGATGCAGAAGGAGGAAGTCTACATGCAGTTTGGAAACAAGTAATTCACCACATAATTTTCTGGAATGAGGAAAAAGATAGCAACCCTAACACCAGGATCATTTCTTAATACTATAAAGTAAGTCTGAGAATTTCTTCCCAAGCAGAAGACAAAACTAATTTTAAAAGATTTTTTTTCAACGTTTTTGAGGTTGCACTGAAGAAAAGAACCTTTGTAATAAAGGGAACTCGAAGCCATAGTTTTACCCATTAAAAGTGAAATGGAAGAATTTTAGAGCCCCAGATTTTACAGTTAAAATTAGTATTGTAACATCAGTTTAAATCTATCAAGAGAAAGTCATGCTAGATGCAATGGCACATTCCTATAATCCCAGCAGCTCTGGAGGCTGAGGCAGGAGGATTGTGAGTTCAAAGCCAGCCTCAGAAATGGTGAGGTACTTTGCAACTCAGTGAGACCCTGTCTCTAAATAAAATACAAAATAGGACTGGGGATGTGGCTCAGTGGTCAAGTGCCCCTGAGTTCAATCCCTGGTACCAGGAAAATAAATAAATAAAAGAAAGTCATGCATTTATATACCATTCTCCCACTTTCAGTATTTTGTACATATATACTTTAATTCCAACAATATATATTTAGCTTCATTAAAAATGAGGAAATATAAATGTTAGGAAGTTGAGTCATTAATGCACAGTATAAACTATAAAACTGAATCCTGACAGTAAATTAAAGCTCGTGATTTTCACTTTGACCACGATGCCTCCCTCCCTTTCATCCCTGGTTTTTGTTTTGGGCAAATATACCACTTAGCCAGTTACATCACACTCTTATAATCTTTTAAAATATTTTTTAAAAAAGGTCCTACCTCCTCATATGCATCTATGTCGATATACACATCAGTGTCAGGAAGCTGTCCCAGGACTTTGTAGCTTGGACTGGAGATGGAGAGCATGTTAAAGTCTACTGTGCCGAGGGGCAGTGTGTGCTTAGACATGACAGCCTGATTTGCTACTGCATTCAGGAATACATGATCCGTACACAGTGCCTTGTGAAAGGGCTCCTTACGTATCACATTCCTAGTGACATCACATTGAAGTGATATTGCAGGTATACAGGGGGAAGTCAAGGTCCCCTGGTGGGGGGAGAACTGGGCATCAAAGGATGAGGAGTTCAAGAGGCAGAGGAGGAATGGGACTTCTGATCACCTGGGGTACCCTGACACCCCATTTCTGTAAGTCTAAATCCTACTGCTTCTAACAAAGGCCAAGTCCTGACTACCTCCCTACTGAAACCAGGAGCAAAGAAGTCTCTTTCCATAAACTCCTCTGGGATTTCATTTGGGCATCTCTTATGTTTATTATCACACCATACATTGCTTATATCTACTGAAGCACATAAAACTGTACATTCTAATTTTCTGAAGAAAGATTACAAAATGGTGATTAAGAGTCGGCTTCTGGACTCACAAAAATGCATATTGAAGTCATGATCCCACCACATACTGTGATCTTGGTAAGTTAATCCAATCACTCTAGGACTCTGTCTATGGCTATGAAATTAGAGTACTAATAGTCATTGGGTTGTAAGGATGAAATGACATAAAACATTGATTTGCACAGTGCTCCATTACTTCATTGTCATCATTAACATTATCACTTATATTATAGTCTGTCATCCTTAGGAGAATACAACCTTTTTCAAGGGCAGGACCATGTCTTATTTATTGCAATATCCTGAAAGGCTACTATGTCCCTGGGAACATAGTAGACCCTCAACAAATAGCTACTCAATGAAGATTATAGTTATTTTAATATATTTTATAACACAGACTAAACTTTAAGCTCTTTGGGGGCAGAAATAAACCCTCACATATAACACACATAGTACTAGCATGGAAGAGGCCATCAGAGTTATTTGCTGAATGATCAAAACAATTTGGTTGTCTCATGACTCTGTGTGCTCTGAAGGAAACTTGAGTGTTTGGAACAAGCCAGTGCATCTCTAGCCATCTCCTGGAAGAATTCCCTAATTACAGAACTGAGACTAGCTGAGTCACCACGTATCCTAAGAGCTGATCCCAAACTCCACCCTACAAAAACCCAGCAAGACCCAACAACAAAGAACACACACATTCAAACTTAATTAATTATCAGAGGGAGAAAGAGAATTATAACACTTAAAAAAAATCTTCCCCAATCTTAAAATTTATAGGAAACCATAAAATTCAATTTCGTTAAAGAAAACAACAACAACATACTCTCAACTTCTAGACTAGCTTGTTAAAGGACAGATTTTTAAAAAAATTTTTTGGTGCTGGGAAGTGAAACCAGGGTCTTGTGCATACTAAGCAAACACTCTACCACTGAGCTATGCCCTCAACTCCCTAGATGTTTTTAACAATGATGATGACCAAAGTTCTGGGATGAAGGATTCCTATAAGTACTACTAATATTTTTTTATAAAAATGGGGAAAACTTCTTTTAGTTAAAAATGGGCAACAGTGTTTATTATATGGGATTCCTCCCTCCCTTCCTGTGCTCGTGATGGATGGACCTCAAACATGCTAACCCCACTTCCACCCATTCAAATTCAGACTGTACTTTAAGTCAGCATGGGAATCTCAGCCAGGACATTCACCCCCCATTTTAGTCTGGGCACTTGCCTCTGGGTTCTGTAAATCACAGTGAGCAGAGCAATGATCACAGCAGTGATCAATCCATAGTCCAATCCCAGGAACAAGGAGGACACGAACGTGGTGAGCCAGATGGTCTAAATAGAAGTCAGAAAGCTATATGGAGAATCATATTAAAAATTCCAAGAACTAAACACCCACAAGTTTTGTTCATCTTGCCTACGTGTGTACTGCAAATAACTAACTGGATTAACATCTTTCTCACATAGTTGCTGCTGTAACCTATTAATCTAATTATCACCTTTACTTACCAGCTCTATCTTGCTGGTTCTCCAGAAAAAGGGGAGATCTGAGAACTGCATAAACATCCCCTTCAGGTTGACGATCACAATGGCCGACAGCACAGCCTGAAACACAACACATCCACCCATGCCTCTCTTCTTGTGTCCACAGGGCCCTGTTGCTGGGTCTTCACAGTCTACCTGCTGCCCTTCCCACATCTTCTCCCCACTGACTTCCTAGGTTGAGCTGATGATACCTTTGGAGGCATGGATGCCTGGATACTGGGCACATAGTTAACTAGAATGTACTTGGGAAACCAGGTTTATATCCTAGTAGCAAACCTGCATTGTGGTCAAGAGGTTCAGAATTAAACAAGATACTCAAGGATTTCATCCATGGTCTTCCTAAGATTTTTTTTTTATGTTGTTTCTGAACTCTCCTAGATTAAATACATCAACAAATAAATTTCTTACAAGTATAGGTCACCTCATATTTTTAATGAAAGTATAAAGTCATAGAAGGTCAAAGAGCACAGGAACCTTGGAGATTACCCAGTTCAAACCCCACTTTGCAGATAAGGGAACTGAGACCAAGAGGAGTTTAGACGGCTTTCTCAAGGTCCCAGTGACACTTGATTATGGAGCAGGATCTTGATCCTAGGCATGGCTCTTTTTCGTTCTTTTCTGCTAGGATTATAGTAAAAATCCCTAAGGCAGCCATAAAAACAGAGAGAAATAAAATAGTAAAATATCTACACATGGAAATACCTCACATTAAGTCCACACTACACACCTGGGGTAATGATTCAAAGAGGAATCCAGTGGCTAATATGACCAGCAGAATCATTAATGAGGCCAAACAACCTGCAAGCTGAAAATGAGAGAAGGGACTTTTAGGAAACTAGAGTAAGAGGCAGAGGGTGGGTTGGTCTAATTCTTTTACATCACTATGGGAAAATCAAGAAAATCTACATTCCAATAAGTCATCCAAACCATTATATAACCATATCCTGCTCCCTCTTTGAAGTTTTGATTCTTCCTATGGCTTTTAAATTTTCTGACTTAAAAGCCCTTGTAAGAAGTGGAAGAAAGATATCTGGTACCAACCTAAGACTGACCAGGGCCAGAAGAGTCCAAACAAGTGGTTCTACCCAATACAGTAGTCACTAGATACATGTGACTATATAAGTTTTTTAAGCTAAAATCAAATAAACATTTAAAAATCAGGTCTCAGTTCCACTATTCATATTTCAAGTTGCTAGGGGCTATCATATGGATGGTGCAAATATTGTACATTTTCATTACTGGAGAAAGTTCTTTTGGATGGTGCTGGCATCCTGCCCATACTCAGTCTCAGACTTTCTTTTTCTTTTTTCTTTTGGTACTGGAGATTAAATTTAGGGGCACTTTGACCACTGAGCTACATCCCCAGCCCTATTTTTGTATTTTATTTAGAGACAGGGTCTCACTGAGTTGCAAAGCACCTCGCCATTGCTGCGGCTGACTTTGAACTCACGATCCTCCTGACTCAGTCTCCCAAGCTGCTGGGAGAGTGCGCTACCATGACTGGCCTCAGTCTCAGGCTTTCATAACAACATTCCATGTCTGAACTTTGAGGTTTACTGGTAGCAAAGGGAGCACTATATAACTTTCCAATTTAACTGGAAAATATGCCTCTTTTTTATAGATTCAGTTTTTGTGATTTGCTTCAACCAGTCATTGTCTTTCTCTGATTCACTACATAGCCCACTGGACCATGGATTTGCAGACAGAGTAGCTTTGTTTGGGTTCAGAATTTAATCAAGAGATCAGCATTTAATTTCCACTCCAAACATGAGTTCTTAGAGGCCTGTTGTATACCCACCTGTGTCTTCCCTCCGGTTCCCTCCTGAACAAGGCTTCGAGACAAGGAGCACGAGATAGAAAAGGTCTGGAAGAGTGAGCCAATGGAATTGCACAGTCCCAGGGCAATGAGTTCCTTTTCCACATGGCAGCAAAAACACAAAGGAGAAGGTCATTTTTTTCAGCGGGGGGGAAACCTGTTAGCTCATTTAATAAACATTCAGAAGTATAGTCTGTCTTTTCATTCTTTCTTTTTCTTAATATTTATTTTTTAGGTGTAGATGGATACAACACAATTCCTTTATTTTTATTTGGTGTTGAGGATTGAACCTGGGTCCCGCCCGTGCTAGGGGAATGCTCTACCACTTAGCCACAATCCCAGCCCCATTCATTCTTTCTTCAGATAAAATAATTTGTTGAGTTCACAATAGGAATTGTGGCATATTTTACAACGGAATAAAAATACTTTGGTTATTATAATTTCTGTGATCCTCACCCTAATACACCCTATATATGAATAATACTATAAGAGAAAAGAAAAGAAAATCACAGTAAAAAGGAGAAAATACATTTGTTAAGAGAAAGTTCTTGATGTATGACTACTGGCATCATTTTGATACCTAGGCTATTTCTCATCAACAAGTACATGCCAGTGTCTTCCCAGGACCAGAGAGTTCTGCTCTTGGGCTACTCTGGCAATTTCTAGTTTGATGAATGCATCTCATATGACTGTGGGCATCTGGTCTTCCCTTAGAAATATATAGGGTGCTAAAAAAAGACACTGTTAGGCCAAGATAGTTCATGGTGTTTGGATTACCTACCTCATAAGTAGCTATGTTTTTTAAAAAAAGGCATCAGAGAGAATACTATGGAGTTCAGATGATTAATCATATGCATAAAGTTCAATGAACAAATATAAACCTTTCTGTGGAGCAAAAATGGTTCTGGAGATGTGTTTTATTCCCAGGCTGTGGGCTTTAAGCAGATGGATAAATTGGAGTATGGCAAATCACAAATTTCGTGTCACCTTTCTAGCTGAACCCCTGAGGGCTCTCTACTTCAATGTTTGGATATGTAATGCTCATGAATAGTAAAAGAAATCATAGCATTGAATCAATACATGCTTCAAATACATCCATTAACAAAATAAAGGTTTTTCTACCAAGATAAAAATCTAGTTCATTTGCCTTCCATGACAGAGCGTAATGAATGAATGTACCACTATGAAATATCTGCAGGAAACTAACAATCTTTACCTGATTGCCATCGACCTGGTAGCCATGTTTATTTGCCAAGGTCTTGGCCATTGAGATGGTCACTGAAAATCCAACGATGGCTATGGCAATGGCATCCACATACACGAGGTGGAAGAGGCTGGTGTCTGGATTGGCTGGAGGTAGTAGCCTGAAAAGTTAAGCTGATTTTAACTCAAGTGCTTTGACCACCAGGAAACCACTGGGAAACAGCACGCAACTCGCGGGGAGCATTAGAGAGGGGCAGAGTCTACAATGAGGTCACCAAGGTTTGGGTAGTTGTTTGCTCTGGGTTAGCAAAAATGAGGGCCCTCCTTGACAGAGAGAGGTTCTTTCCAAGCCCAAACTATACAGCACAGGCATACTACCTGGATGGATTATCAGCAGAGATCAGATGCTGTTTTATTTATAAAGGAGTAACCTCATACGGCATGGCGCCCTGTTGGTAGGTGTAAATAAGACACAGAAACAGGAAGAAGAGAGGGTCAGCAAAGTGCTCAGATGCCACAAGACATTTAAACCAGTCTTGGGGTGGGGAGGATCTTGGAGGGACAAGGACTACCTTGGAGAAGAATTACTGTCATTGTAACATGATTCACTTCTCTCACTGTTATACAAGGTAAGGACTCTAAGTCTGTTAACTCTTCGCATGTCATTGTCCCTTCGGTTCTAACATGGGAAAGGAGCAGTGGCCAATTATACTCCTTGAGTCTCACCTACGAATCCTGGGAATCTGGAGGAGCCCAAAGTGTGATTCCTGCCTCCACAAAGGGGAACCTGACTTTTGTCCATTCGTGTAGTTGGGGACGTTTGAAACAAAACAGAGATTCCCTAAAATGTTATAGGGGAAAAGGCAACAGGGATTTTCTAAGACATCCTGCTTCAAATCAAGGCATTTTGCTAAATAACAATCTCTTAATAGAGACACAATAATATCATTATTACAAAACAAAATTATTATTCATGTAATAATATCATTATTACAAAATTATTGTTAAGTGCTCCCTTTGTGTCAGGTTCTGTGCTTTTTTTTTTTTTCCCCAATAGCCCTGTGAACAAGGCATCATTATAATCTCGATTTTACACAGGTGGGAAAATGAGGTTAATTAAGCAACTTGTCCAAGACTGAACAGTTCTACTAGGTACAACAAAACCAGGAAGAGCCTGCCTCTCTATTTCTCTCACCATGTTATGCACAGTGACAGAAGGAACACTTCAAATTCTTGGGTAAAAAAGGGAAGGGAGGAAGGGAAAGGAAACTAGTATCTGTTAAGGCTAGATCACACACTATATACTTGATATAAGCCATCTCACTTATCCTCACGACAGTCCTGTTTGAGAGCTACCACTATCAGCCTAATTAATAGGTTAAAAAAGGGATGTTTTTAGATGCTAAGTGATTTCCCCAAGATGGATCAGAAAATTAAATGCAGGGGGTTTGAGTAAATTAGTAAATTAATTTACTCACAGGGAAGGCCTAACACCAGGGTTGGACCTGAGGAGTAAAAATGTAAGAAATGGATGTATTTTGGAATGAGTTCAGGAAAGTAAACCCCAAGTAGTACATTACCATGACTGGGAACTTAGTAGTCAGTTGCCACTTTCTGGGCCCGAAAGTGTGTTTAGCTTAGGAATATGTACAGATAAGGGTAACAGTTTACTTGCAAACACAGCCACCAACCATTCCTCTCATTCTGGTAAATGCGGACAGCTTCTCTCATCTAGATGTGAAATCTATTTGCCCTCTTGCTGAACCTAAGTTGACCTTCTGATTTGCTTTGAGCAACAGAATGTGGTGGAAGTGATGTCCTATGAATGTCTAAAGTGGCCTGGCAAATTCTCTATGTTTCTTTGTTGTTGCCCTGAGCACCATGTAAAGAGGTCTGGCTACCTTGCTGGGGACACCATGTGGAGAGAAGGTGCCAGTCAGCCCCCAGCTGTTCCAGCCACTCCAGCTGAGGCAACAAACATGTGAATGAAGCCCTCTTGAATCCTTCAGCATGAGTTACCCCTTCAGATACCTCCAGGTGTATGAGAGCACCCAAGGGAGACCAGAATCCTGGTGGAAGCCATCCTAGACTGAAGAATTATGAGCAAATTAATGATTGCTGTTTTAAGACACTGCTTTGGAGTGGTTTGTTATAAAGTAGCAGTAAGACTCACAGATAAGAGAAACAGTATGGCTGTATGTAGACATGCAGGTAGGTGAGTATTTGTTACCTGCCTCTTTGGGGTAAAGTTTCAGAAGGACAAGGTTTCTAGGAAGCCAAGTTCCAGAATGGTAAAATGTTTTTGTTTGTTTGTGTTTCAAGTTTAGTTCTCACAAATAAAATGAAAGCAATATATTTGGATACAGTATAACAGGGAAAGGCGGACATTAATTGGAAATTATGGTGACATGTGAATTTTAATGAATCAGTATATTTTTACAAGGAAAATTTGAAGTGTAAAAATTTTGCATTTAATCAAATTATTTGTAATTAGTAAGTGAGAGTTATCTGTTGAATTGAATCAAAGGTCAGTGTTTATCAGTTACTGTGTTAGAGACCCAGGTGTGAAGTAATGGAAAGATCATACACATCTGGGTATCAAGAAGGACAATTTCTGGGTCCAGGCTGGGACTCCCAAAGTCACTAAAGCTCATTTATGTCTCTCAAATATCACATCCCTGACACTTAAAACTTCAACCCAGTCCCTCCTATGGCTTACTTGCCTTCTCTTGTTTTCAAAGCGTTTCGCATTATTTGCCTATTGATCAATTGTCTATCTCCATTAGAATATAAACTCCATGAGAGCAAGGACTTTTTGCTGATGTGTCTGTTTTTCTCTTTAATTGCTGTGCTCCTGATATACAATAGGCATTCAATAAACAGATTCTCAATAAATAAGAATAAATGAACTTTTCTGTAAAATAGGGATAATAATGTATATTGTCAATAGAGTTGCTTTAATCTCAACTGAGATGGCAGATATACAAGTATTTTATAAATTATAAGTCAAAGTTGAAGAGCAGGGTATTATTGCTGTGCCATAGCTTTACTCCGAATCATTATAAGAAACATGTTCACTGCCATATTGTCATGAAGTTTAAAGGTAGAGTGCAATCTTCCTCCTTCAACACTTGTACTATGGGATGAGCTTTGGCTTAGAGAACATCTTCAGCGCCCTCTGCTTCCCAGGAGACTCAGGACTGGAGGGCAAGGCCTGATGGAATGGGAAGTTCCCTCAATGTCCAACATCTGGGCAAATGTCTGACTCTGTTAGTTAGGAAGAAAGAAGAGGGTGTTGAGAGAAAGCAAAATAGTACAAGAGATAGAAAGACAGGGATATACCTAGAGATTCAGAGAGGGTCGAAGTAAGATGAGCAGAGGTGGTAGTCATTCTTGCTTTCAGATACAGAGAAAGATTAATCAATGTTAAAAATGTAGAGTAGGTAATATAGATGAAGCACAGAAGCAAGCAGCATATGATTTGAAACTAGAAAACCCACAGTAATAGCGGACCTCAGAACTTCCAATTAGCCTGTCTTGAATGTGCAATGTGCAGACCAGGGCTGCACTGGCTGTGAGCATGGTCTCCTGCCCTCTCATGGCTGCCCTAGGAGAAGCAGGGATTACCAGGCCCCCGTTGAAAGGCAGGGACACTGAGGTGTTAAAAGGATAAGTGACCCACTATGAGTAAGGTCTTTTGCTCTTAATTCCTGTGTCACTCAAGGAAATGTTTTAAAAACTCTTAAGGAAAACAAAAGAAAAACCATTTCCCATGGTTAGTGGGATTGTAAAATAGTACAATTGCTATGGAAAGCAGTATGTGATTTCCTCAAGAAATAAAAAATTAAACTATCATATTATCTAGTAATTCTACTTTGGGGTTTATACCCAAAAGTATAGAAAACAGGGTCTCAAATATATATATTTATTTTTACCAGTGTTCATAGCAAGTACTATTCACAATAGCCAAGTGGTAGAAGCAACATAAATGCTCACTGATGGATGCTTGGAGAAACAAATACAGTATATATACAGTAGAATATTACTAAGCCTTAAAGAAAGAAGAAAATACTGTTATGTGCTACAACATGAATAAACCCTGAGGACATTATGCAAGTGAAAAAAAAAAAAGACAAACACTGTATGATTCTACTAACATGAGGTACCTATGGACCTTTTCATTGAACTAGAAAGATGAAGATGGTGGAGCTGGGAGATGGAGAAGGAGGGAGTCATTTAACAAGAAGAGAAATTCAGATGTGCAATATGGAAAAGCTCTGGAGATGTGTTTTACAATGATTTGAATATACTTAACATTATTGAATTGTCAACTTAAAAATGGTTAAGATGGTATGTTTTATTAATACACACACCCATTCCCAACCCCTAGCACCCTCAGTTATTTGGTATGCTGGAAAAGATTATTTTCCATTGCAATAGTACTTTTATAAGAGGTTAGAAACAATTTGATTATTCAAGTCACCCTGTTACCAAAGTCAACTATTTTCCTACCCCAGAGGAAGTGTTCCAACGACATCCACATTGTATGATTCTTTCAAGTTAAATCCAGCTGAGATGCCAGTTCCCATTACCACCTAAGACAGACACAAATACAAATGTACCTTCAGGGATGAATGTTCAAATGTCAGAAAAATAAGCTTCAAAGAATTTCTTAGCCAAGTCTAACCTAGTCTCACTTTTGATGGTCAGTTTTAAAATGCGAAGTTTTTGTTAGCTTCCAGCCATTCTAACTTCTCTCAATGACTCTACATCATGTAACACAAACAGGTTTTAAAGTTTCCTTGAGGCCTGGAATGATTTTCTTCTCACTTTGTTCTATTCCCTGCTGAGGTGTCAGGCTAGTTCAGTGCAACAGAAAGAGGACATTAAGCTTCTCAGGGGTGGACCTTACCTTGGGGCAGGTAAAAGGAGTCTCTGGCCAAGCTCTCATGAGTGGAGGGTAGTAAGATGTGTGTGGTGAGGGTGGCTCAGCATATCAGTATGAAATGAAAGAAATGAATGTTTGGATTTAGAACCCTCCTGCTGACTCTGTTTCTAGGACAGCAGCACCCCACAGTTGTCTTCTCCAGGGCCACAGTGCACACTCCCCAGGGTGATGGTGGATAGAAGGCCACCCTGGATGGTCAGGCCCCAGATTTACTTGAGGGATATTGCTCAACCCCTTAGTGAGACACAGTGAGACGGCAGTTTGCTTCCATCTCCAGTAACTACTGCTCATATTGCTTTCTGAAGGGGTTACCCAGGAGGGGAGGAATTAGACTATCTCTTACAATTTTAGAACCCCCTCTCTCTCTGGGACTGGACATGTAAGTCCCTGTTTCCACTTGGGAGTCCAGCAAGAGATTCTAAGCCCCTATGTATGCGAAATAAGGCAGGAAAGCCCCATTTACCGAGTGAGCAATGAAGGTTGCCTTTCCTGCCCGGGTTACTAACTAGCTCTGTCCACTTCCCAGATACCCTTTAGAGACTCCTTTGTATTCCAGGAAAATGGTTTGCCAAAATTCTGTCATTGAAATGTCTTTCAATCATAACTTAATCCATGCCTTTTCAACTTCTTATCAAAGCTATCCACAGAGCACAGAAAATAGAAGCCATATTGGAAAGTTTGGGGATAGACTCTTTAGGATCCCCTTTGAACAAAAAGTAAAATATTTTTTTATTATAAAAACATTATTTTGAGCTTTTCATTCTATTTTATAACACATCTTTTTGTATCTGTTGGACACTGTGTAGACTTCTAATTGAAGGAAGCTCATAGTTTGAACATTGTTCATAGTATGTTCATTTTGGTAAAACTGTCTTTGCAAGCTGGGTGTTTAGTGGTTGCTATGATTAAAAAAAAAAATCCATGTGAACAGGAAATGAAGGTGATTTTATCCAATCAGTTTCCAGGGTCTGAGGATTTGTACAGTGCTCAACAGGTGTACACATCCATGAATAAATAACTGTAGTTATTCAAGAACATATTTTTTATTCAAATTTGTGTATAGTTTTTACAAAAAGCTAACAAGTCTGTTAGACATAAATACGTATTAAGGTGTTTGGATCTAACTACTTCTTAAATGGAATTGTGAGGTGCTTCTTCGGCTCAGGCATGCCAGGTAGCTAAGAAAGTTTGGGAACTTTTGTTTTATACTATTTTGAAAGTGCAGACAACTTTATCTTTCTCTGATTATGAGAGCAATATATACTCATTAAAAAACAATTAGATCACAAACAATTTGAGGAAAACAAATCCTCCAAACTCCCATCACTCAGAGATAATTAAAGTTAAAATTTGTATTTATGGTCTTCACCTATATTTAAAAGTCATATATGTTTACGTTTTAATGCTTTTTCTTTCTACTTTTTGTTATCTATTTTGACAGAACTAAGAGAAAAAATATACTCTCTCTGCTCCTCTTTCATACACTTCAAAATCCCTCACAGAAACAGGTACATGGGTTGTAGAAGTTGAATAGATCATCTCTTCGAGTGGACTTACCGCAAAGAACTCTAAAGGAATGGGTGCTGGCAGTTTCTCTTTAAATCTCTCATTAAACTCCTTTCCACCCAACAGCAAACCAAAAACCATCAGCCCGACGCCTAGGGAACACACGTTGAGGTTTTTAACATTCTGCAACACAGCAACTGTACTCTGTAACACAGTGAACACTGGAGTTTACACCAAGAAACGGCCCCTGTATTTAGTGACTCAACACATACAAGTTACCTAGAAGAGGCGATTTACAGAGACAGAGGTAGAGGAGTCACCTGAGGCTGGGTGGAGGGGGAGGGAGGTGTTGTCTAATGGATGTGGAGTTTCTGTTTGGGATGATGAGAAGGTTCTGGAAATGGGTATTGGTCATGACTGCACAATACTGTAAAAAATGCACTGATGTCACTGAACTGCATACTTTAAAAAATAAAGTGGTAAATTTTATTATATATATTTTACCATTAAAAAAAAGTCTCAGATGAGCTCAGAAAGAAAGGGGAAAGGGAGGGAAGAAAGGACGGCCAGGGATATAGCTTAGTGGTAGGGCATATACTGAGCATTCTTTAGTTCGATTCCCAGCACTAAAAAAAAAAAAAAAAAAAAGTTAAAGAAAAAATAGTTCCTGATTAGCTATCCTATTGTTGGACATTTCTAGTTAAAAGTTCTCAGAGCTGGAGTGTAGCTTAGTAGTAGAGAATGTGCTTAGCAAGTACAAGACCCTGGGTTTGATCCCCAGCATCACAGGAAAAAAAAAAAATTTCCTCTGGCTATAATTTCTTTGTAGCATCCACTAATTAGCTGGCATTTTGACCTAGTCATACTACTTCATAATTGTAATTCTTATTCAAGTTTCTTATAGTGTTTTGTAATATGCTGTTATCTCAATGTATTATTATAAATTTAGAAAAATAACCCTGAGGCTGAGCTGTGAGCATTAGGAAAGAATTAAAGGTTGATATCAGCAAAATACTCTGAAGGTAAACACACAGAAAAGCTTTTAGTTTAAAGAGGGAGAAACTACTGTTAGCAGATGAAAGAGAAGTTAGGTGGACTATGAGACAGGGCATGAAGTTTGGAAAGGAGCCCAAGAGAGTTAGAGAAGAAAGCCACTGGTTTATATCCCACAGCTACAGTCTGAGTACTCCAAATATAGGTCAGTTCTCAACTAAATCCAACAAAAATGACCCCCTCCAGGCCCAGGGCATGCACCCTTTCCCATCAATGCCTAGAACAAACTCAGGTATGCTTGGATTTTGTATTTTCTTTTTTCACAAGCCATTTTGAAAAGTCTCAGAGTAAGAAGTATGTTACTAGCTATTACCAGAAAAACAGTTTAACTATTTAGGGTATATTCTTATAGTTCCATTCTAATCAGTCAAGGACTCAAATTTAAACCTCAGAGTGACTTTCCTATGTCTCCCTATTCAACTTTTAGAACAATATGCACCTTTTCTTTGTAGTACTTGACATAATTTGTAATTACTTACATATTTGCGCAATTCACAATTTACCAATTATCTTCCCCTTAGACTGTAAGTTCCAAAGGACAAGGGCTGTATCTGCTTGGTTCACTGTTTTTTTATTTTTTGGGGGGGGGGTGGTACCAGAGATTGAACTCAGGGGCACTTGACCACTGAGCTACATCCCCAGCCCTATTTTGTATTTTATTTGGGACAGGGTCTCACGGAGTTGCTTAGCACTTTGCTGCTGCTGAGGCTGGCTTTGAACTTTGGATTCTCCTGCTTCAGTTTCCTGAGATACTAGGATTATAGGTATGCGCCACCGCACCCAGCTTGGCTGTTTTATCTCAGTGCCTGGCAGAGAAACCTACAAAGGCTGTAGCAGCATCTCTTAAGGTTTAATATCTAGGACTTCTACTGTTAATTGGTTCTAATAATTTCCTAGTTTCCTCTTTATCCATGGGTCATTTAGAAATGTCATTATTGGCATTCAAATACATCGGGCTTTAAAAACTATATTTAGTCATTGATTTCTAGTTATATTTTACTCTGTGAAAAAATGTTGAAGTTTCAGAATTTGTAATCAGTTTTGTATAATCAGTTTCAACATGGACAGTTATTACCATTGCTCCCCATGTAATTGCAAATGATTTCTCTGAATTGTATAGAGTCTATGCATATTTTATCATATTAAACTGGTTAACTATGTTCATTAAATCTTTTATATCCTTCTTTTTTTTAGCTGCATGAGTTAGCAATTTTTGAAAGAGAGGTTTTCCCATTATGTCTTTAAATTATTTGTTAGTCTAAAAAGAACAAAATTTGTGGTTAAGAAAAAACTCTCTCTTCACCTAATTAGAGTAATCATATAGTCACCAAATAAAGACCTAACACAAAATTATCTGTGATGTAGAAAGGATCACTATCAATAAAATAGGATTTTAGGGTTTAGTTCTCTTTGTGGCACTATTCTCAGAAAGCCTCAAAATAGGGCTGGGGTTATGGCTCGGTGGTAGACCGCTTTCCTAGCATGTGTGAGGCACTGGGTTTGATTCTTAGCACCACATATAAACTAATTAAAAAAAAATAAAGGTCCATTGACAACTAAAAATATTTTTTAAAAAAAGAAAGCCTCAAAATGTCTAAGTCCTTTTCCTTTTATGGAAATCCTTGAAAATAAAAAAATAATAAAAATTTAAAAAAAGAAAAAGAAACCTTGAAGATAAAAGATGAGGAAGAAAAATAAAGAAGGAAAACCAGTACCACCAAATCAGAAGTTGCTTACTTACATACACCACTGAAAAGATGCCACTGTACCGCTTTGTTTTAACCCCAAACAGGTATTTTAACATGGACGTGAAGACATGCACAGCTGCCGCAGTGGTAAACCCCCGGACCAGAGGCTCTGTGAGGTATATGGCCACAAATCCAAACCTACAGACACCTAGGCAAAACTATGTTGTTGTTGTTGTATTTTTTTAAAAGACAAAGAAAGAAAGAAATCACATGATAGGTTAGGAAATTATGATCAACAGAAACATAAAAATTCTTTCTGGAACACTTTCTGTCATTACAGACTTGCAACTGCAGCAGTTCAGTAGCTAACAAATTAATCACTGGTTATAGAGAAAACCATGGGAGATGTGGAGTGGCTTGGAGCCCCAAGGGGCAGTGGTCACAGTGCTTTCCCTGTCTACTGAACTAGGGACATGCTTAGTCAGGCATCACAGTCATTCCTTCCAAGCAGATAAGGAATGTCCTCTTCTCCTTATGAACCAATCCTACTGTTTCAAATTTATCTTGCTTTTGGAACTTCTAAAGTCCCCAACTGAAGCCTGCTTGTCACTCCTAGTTGTCAATAAGGCATGCAGTTTATAGGGTCTGAACTCTATAAACCCTGAGTTCTCGAGTTTTACTGGTTGGCCCTGCCCACCCCATAGTAAGATTATTCCACCACATAGTAAGTTTATCCTAGTAAGATTTTCCCTACTACATGGTTTCTTTTGCTTACTAGTAAGTAGCCAAGAGGGTTCAACATATACTAGATGAACAAGTCAGAGCCCAGTTCCCCGTTTTCTAGTCTCACCTGAATGATTCCTGAAAGTAAGGTCACAGACATGGCAACTTTTACTCTCAAGGCATCTCTGGCTTCTGTACCATTGGTTGCATTTACTCCTCCTGGAATGACTATATCATCTGGTACTAATCGAACAGCCACACCACCAATCATCAAGCTAATAACAGCAAAAGGACCTGAAATGATGAAACATGAATGACCATTGTCAGGGGCTTTAGGAAATTGTTCAGTGTATCAGGTGTGATGAGCACATATGATCCTTATTCAGGGGGTACATGAAAACTCTCTCCAGTGCATCTGATGTGATTATTGCCAGTATGTCAAGAGACACAGGTGAGGTCAATTAGTCATCCTTGGACAAAGACTGCCCTGACCTGCTGAAGCACTCTGTGCCTGGTGTGTGTGCAAACTGTGCTTCCAAATGTGACCACAACAATATCTCCCATCCCACAGGCTCTTCCAGTACCTTGACAATTCCCAGCCAAGAGGTGGAATCTAATTGCTCTCCCCTTGAAGCTGGGTGGCTTTATAACTTACTAGTAACCCATAGAATGCTGCAGCAATCACACTGTGTGTCTTTGGAAGCTAGGTGATAAAAGGTGATGCTGGTTCCCCCTGAGAGCTGTCAAACTTATGCTGGAGCCTGGGTCACCATGTAAGAAAGCTCCAACCAGCCCACGTGGAGAACTCCTAGGACTATACAGAGGAGATGGGACAAAAGGGAGTAGACAGGAAGGAAGAAGGGAGAGAGGAGGAATTACCCAGACAACCTCTTCCCAGGTCCTGACGCAGAGGAACTGTGAGAGGTAATAAAATCATTGTTTTTCATGCTTTCTGTTTATTTATTCTTAAGTATTAAATTTATTTTTAAAACTTTTATTTTTAAAAACAGAATATAACCTGCTAAATTTTGGGAGCATTTCTCACCCCTATAATAGATATCTAAAACACTGTGGTGGTCTTAAGGACTACCACTACTTTGATGAACTTTATATACATCTGATCTTAAATATATTAAAGAGAAAACATGTACAACTCAGAGCCTAGAATATGATGAAAGTGATATACATGCATAGCCATTACAAGCTCGAAATACCACTATTAACATAAAGAAGGAAAACCAGACACAAGCAAATTGTATTAGGAAAAAAAAAAACATTTACCTTATTTCACAGGTTTCAACAATTGCTCTTTTATACAAGAAACTTGTCCTTTTAAATTTTCCCAAGATAAAAAGAAAACTTTTTAATCCTAGAAATCTTGGGAGGAGTCTATTTTTAAAAGCACCTGTTGTATATTCAGAATCAAAAGTTACCACAAAGTGGATGTTCTATGACACTATTTCCTTGGCATATTGCAAAGCTTGGAAATCCAAAAAAGAAAGGTTGTAGAATGTCAAGTGTAAGCTTTTACCTATGGATATATGTCTGGAGGTTCCAAGAAAACAGTACATGATAACAGGATAAAATGAAGAGTACAGGCCGAACACTGGAGGCACAGCTGCCAGCATTGCGAAGGCTAAGCCTGTGGGGTTGAGAGCCAGAGAAATGGGAGACCATTAGAAAACAAGGGACCATATGGACTTTTCTCTTGGTTCTATCTGATGAGCATCTTAATGGAAGCTGATGTGTCTTACCTGCCCACCCTTCCACCCCAATCCTGCACGAAATCCTGTACCTACGGAGTCAGGGCTGAGACAGTTTTCCTTGTCATCTCTGCTTTGCCATTAGGTGGATGTTTTCTGCTTTATTCTTTCACAAATTAGAAAAGAGCAGGGAAAAGAATCTTATTTGACTTGATGGGTGCAGTTGTAGTCTGGTGTTGGTGCACAAATGTCAGCTCTTTTTCTACTGGGCCATTATTGTGGGTTTGTGGAGATCCCTTTGATATTGGGAACCCACTGTTCCGTTCCCTGGCCTATATGGTGCCCCTCCACCTGACCCTTGGATTCATCCCCTGGCTCCCTAAGATATAGTCATCCAGGTTCTTTCTGCTGGCACTTGCTCATCCTGTGGGCGGGCTTCTTGGGCAGCACCTTGAAAGGAGCCAAGCTGGGTTACCCTCCAGGGTCCCCAGTTTTTCAATGGGAAAGCTTGGCCCTTGACCCCCAGAAACTTTAGCAGTACAGGTCATATCTACTAGAAGACTCACTCTCTTCATTCTGCTGTCCCAGGGACTTCACACCATCTTTTACCTGTGACTCTTTTTTTCTTTAAAAAAAAATGAACTTATTTGTTAGAGAAGCTTTAGATCCATAACAAATTGAATGGAATGCTCAGAGATTTCCCCCATTCCTACACAGGCATAGCTTCCCCCACCACCAATATCCCCCATCAGAGAGGTACACTTGTGACAAATGACAAACTTATACTGAAGCATTGTTATACCCAAAGCTTATATTAGGGTTCACTCTTGGTGTTGTACATTCTATACAAATATGTAATGACATGTATCCACCACTGTAGTATAACGCACAATGGTTTCATTGACCTAAAAATCTTCTGTGCTCTGCCTATTTATCCCTCCTTCCTCATAAAACCCTGGCACCACTGATCTTTTTACCGTCTTCATGGTTTTGGCCTCTTCTAGAATGTCATGTGGCTGGGATCACACTGTATGTAGCTATGTCAGATTGACTTCCTTCACTTAGAAATACATTTAAGCTTTCTCCATTCTTTTTGTGGCTTGACAGCTCATATCATTTTAGTGGTGAATAATATTCCATTATCTGGATGTACCAGTTTATTTACCTATTAGTCTACTAAAAGAGATTACATCTTGGTTACTTCCAAGGTTTGGCAATTATGAATAAAGTTGCTAGAAATGTCCATGTGTAGGTTGATTTCCAGATTTTTAAAAAAGAGACTATTTTTTAGAGAAGTTAGATAAGTAGGATTAGGAAGCAGTCTCCACAAACTCTGGGGACATTGCCCAATGCTCTGAGTAGCACTCTTGTCATCCTTCTTTCTTGCTTTTAGATGGAAGGAAAATATATAGGGTCTTTAGAAATTTCTCATTCCCATCTTATATCAGTCTCCTCTTCTCCTCATATATTCTGTTGCAGAATAAAAGAGTTTGGGTGTCATTCACTCATAGTTTTGCATAGATGGTCTGGCATCCCTCCAATGGGTAGGCAGTAAACACCAGTTTTTGTAGCTTTGGGAGCTCAGCTGAATTTCTAGGGCAACTAGAAAAATCACTTAATGCACTGTTATGTTTTGAAGAAAACAACAATAACAACAACAACAAAGAACTACTCTCCCTCCAGGTGTTGCTCAGGCTAGCAATCACTTCCAACTCTATCCTGTTTTTCTGCTATTTTTCTTCATTTTCCTAAATTAGCAGCTTTCATTGGAGATTGCTTTTGGTGCCCCCCACCCCCAATCACCACCATCAATAACATATGGCAAACTCTGGAGATATTCTGTTTTATCATGATGAGGAATTCTGCTACCATATAGGGTTAGATAGAGATGCTATCAATCATCCTATAAATTCACAAGATAGTTCCCACAATACGTAAAAGGGACAGGCTTGACAAACCTTGTTTTAAGTAAAATGTTTATATTGTTATTTCCCAGTTTATCAATTTTAGATATAAACTATTAACTTTCTATTCTATTATCTACCTTTCAGTTTCACATTACTTATATCATAATTGCATGGGTTTCCGTCTCTTTTATAGAAAGTGATGCTTTCTTCTTTTTATCCCTGGTATTCAGATGTTTTGCTGTGATGTGCCTTGTTTTCAATTATTTTCCATTTTTGTCTGCAGGGTACTTAATGATTTCTCTGTCTGAAAACTCATGTACTTCAATTTTTGGAATTGCTCTTTGATAATTTCTTCCCTTTTTATTTCACCCTACTTTCTTTCTATAAGTCCTATTAGACATGATAGAACATTAGGCTTGATTCTCTGATATTTATTTTTTAAAAAACTTGTTTCATTTATTTGTGTTTTATCTCTACTGCCAAGATATTTCCTTTTCTTTATCCTCCAATTAAATGTTTTATTCTAGATATCATATTTTTAATTTCTATGAGCTCATTTTTATTATCTGATGTTTTTTTTAAAATAGACTCCTGTCCTTGTCTCATGGATTCAACATGCTTTTATATTTCTTTAAAGATACAATAGTTTTAAACTTCTTAATTTTATCCTCTCCATCATTTCTGTTTCTGATAAATTCCTTCTCTGTGTATGGTTTGGTCTTTCTTGAAGCTTAATATATATTGGCTTGCTTTTTTTTAATATTTATTTATTTTTTTAGTTTTCAGTGGACACAACATCTTTGTTTGTATGTGGTGCTGAGGATCGAACCCGGGCTGCACGCATGCCAGGCGAGCGTGCTACCGCTTGAGCCACATCCCCAGCCCTTGGCTTGCTTTTTTTACCAATGAGTTTTATTGCTGTGCAACTGGGTGGCCAGATAATCTCTTCATTGGGGGTCCTCCAGCTGTCACTCTGTTTTTCCTCTGGGGACAGTTCCCCATCTGCCATGGGCTATGTCTTTTTTTGTAGGCACTTTAGAGCTGAGCAGGGTGAGGGAAGAGCCTTTGTTGGCTTACAGCTGAACATGCAGACTTTCATTTAATCCTCCTGACAGCTCTAGGTGTCATCACCTTATCATTCCTTGCATGGCATAGGGTGGGCACCTGAGTGCCTATGTGCTATTTATAACACAGACATTCAGCCAATTATCTTGCTCTTGTCCTTCTGCCTGGCTCTCAGCTTTGACAATATTTGGAGCCTCCACACTCCCAGGGTTCTGTGGGGTAGGTTAATAAATTTCAGATTTCAGCTTCCTCCCTTCAGTTTTCAATTTTATAGTGAACCCCCACCAGGTCCACTATATCCTTTCTCCCATTCTCTTTGTCCAGGCTGGTTCATACCACTTCTCCTTCCTTTACTGATATTTTAGCAGAATTTTGAATGAAGACAAAACAGTGATTCAATCTGCCATGCTTAACCAAAAAATTCTTTCAGATATTTAAATCATTTTTCAATCACAGTAAATTTACTTTATCTTAGATTTCTATCTTTTTAATATTTTGTTTGTCATATTTATCTGTCTTCATTGATTTATGATGGGCAAAAATAGCTTTTCAATAGAAAATTGATTGTAGATAATCTATACCTCTTAGCAGCATCTGCTGGATCATTCCATGTATTGAAATAGGTTCCTTCTTTTTGAAATATCACATATGCTCCTGGTTTTCCTTTCTGATCCAGATACTCTTCTTTTCAGTCTCTTCTGCTGAGTCCTCCTTCTCTATTTGGCCTTTAATGCTGGACAGAATGTGTTCTTAGTTCTCTTCTCTTTTCACTTCACAGTCTCTCCCTAGGTGCCCTTGTCTCTTGCTGTGGTTTAAATGCTCTTTAATCTGTCAAAGATTCTCTAGGCATGCCTCTTTTTTTAAGTTTGTCACATTTGAATATAAACTTGAAATATCCAATTGTCTATCTCACAAGTATCTTAAAATGCACAAGTTCAAACTTACCCTTCAATTCCATTCCTGTGATTTTTATTATTCTGCAACCATCCTTCCATCCCTCAGTAAAAGAAACCTGGGAGTCATCTTGACTATTCCTCTTCCTTATTATCCCCTCATCCAACTCAATAGCCCAGAAACCTTAAGACTATCTTTGACAATCCTTCCTCCCTCATTCTCACTAAACAGCTAGTCTTACTATCTTACTTACAGAATACATATCACACAGTTTTCCAGTTGTTTCCATTTTTAAAAAATATTTTTTTAGTTATATATGGACATAATATCTTTATTTTGTTTATTTTTATGTGGTGCTGAGGATTGAACCCAGTGCCACACATGTGCAAGGCAAGTGCTCTGCCACTGAGCTACAGACCCAGCCCCCAGTTGTTTCCATTTTTATAGCCATCACCCTAGTCCAAGATGAAGAAAGACAATTGATTAAAAATGAGCTTGTGAGATGACTGTGAAAACCCAAATTGGCAAAATCCTTTGGATTTCTTTGAGTATGAGTTTATTAGGTTCCCTGGAGGCACATCCTAAACTTCTGTATGCCATTGCAGGTGCTGAGGTTTTATCTTCTCCTTACCCTACCCTGGCCCCTGCCTTTGAATCTGTCCGTTTTTGCATTCTTGGGGGGTGATGGTGCCAAATGGGTATAGGAAACTATCCTCTACCTTTCTAAGATTTCAATAGATTTAATATATGTGGCAAATCAACCACTTGAAAAATTTTAAACTCAATAATTGATTGTTAGAGGAAGCATTTTTCTTAGAAATTAATTTTGGGGCCAGGAAAAGTGGTGTACACCTATAATCCCAGTGAACTGAGAAGCTGAGGCAGGAGGATCTCACTTCGAGGCAGTCTCAGCAACTTAACAGTGCCCTAAGAACTCAATAAGACCTTGTCTCAAAAAAAAAAAAAATAACAAGAGCTGGGGATGTAGCTCAGTAATAAAGTACCCCTCAATTCAATCCCAAGTACCAAAAAAAAAAAAAAAAAAAAAAAAAAAGAAAAGAAAAGAAAGAAAAAAAAAATCATTAGAAATTAATTTTCGGGAAACTGTCTAGGAAGGTAATGGATTTTTGACCAGCTAACTTAGAACCTGTTGAAGTCATTATTACCTTTGTCTATGCCAAGCCACTGGAATGAATAAATTGATATTTTGTTAAGTTCTTATATCAAATATAAAATCATAGTATATCATGATCCCTTGTAATTAGAGCATGGACTTAGAAGCCAAAAACTTTAATAACAACCACAACAAAATGTTGATTGACTTAGCAAGGTAATGCCAAAACAGTTTACTGATTTGCGAAATAGAACCACCATTTTCTGCTATGAATACTTCTGGGGCTTTTAAAGGGTAAAGTTTCTGAAGAAATCCATTAGGAAGGTAAAAGTTATAAAAGTGATCTGATAAAAACCATACATTTGCAATCATGATGGAAAAGGGTCAAATAACTGTTCAAGGAGATGATAGCAAGGGAAACAAAAGAAGAAAAACAACAACAAAAGAAAAGAAAGATATTCTACTAACCTTGAGGAAGCTGAAGCACTCCAGTGCTTATGCCTGAGACCAAATCACCCAACACATACTCCTTGAATTTATATGCTGGCAACCATTTAGTTATGGGCAGAAACATATAAATGATATTTCTTATTTTTTTAGGAGTACAGCTGTGAAGATAAAGACAGAAACAAAGTTGTAAATAAGGAATATCTCTGCAGAGTTCACAGCGTGACATTTTCTCTTCCTCATATCCATGAGTGAGAAAGAAATATTCACAACTGATGATTCAAGATGTTGCTAAATAGGGTCAGAGTCAGCAGTGGGGGAAAAGACAGAGTGGCCTGGACATTCTGGGAGACAGAGGGAAGAGGTGGATATTTCAGCAGTGGGTGGAGAATTAGAAAGTGGGTCATTTGGGTAAAACTTGACACAAAAGTAAGGCATCGTAAAAGTAAAATAAACATGGTGACATCCATGATGAAGCCCAAGTTCCATCCTATGTCTAACACTGAACTGCTGTGGCTGGCTTTGCACATCAGGAGTGCTCACAATTCACTCTCCCTTCACTTCACGGTGGAACCATACAATAAAGGGAGCAGATTGGAACACAACGTACGTGAATGCCTGTTTCAGTTTATCACCAATGGAATCCGAAACCTTGTCCTTCGTGTGTAGTCTTTCCTGGAGGACTGGATGACTAAAGATGGGCCTTTCCACATAGTACCTCTGGGTTGCTGCAAGGATTTCATTTTCTTCAGCATGATCCATAGTACTCCAAAATTATTTATTAACAGCAGGAGACAAGCATTTCTTGAGAGTCACTAAGGAAGAAAATTAAAGCTTCATGTCAGATGCCAAAGTCCTACTGCTCCTAAGCATCTCTTCCTCACAGTATTCCTAAATTCTGAGGACTTCTTAGACATCCAGGGCACCCAACACATTATTCTGTATACAGTAGGCACTAATAAGTAGAATAAAGTCATAATAAATACAAACATAAACGTGATTTATTTCCTCCCAAAGCAACAAGTGTACTTTCAACAAAAGCTCATCCTAAGTTCAGTGGCTAATGCTGTCTCTAGTTCATATTAAGGGGAACTGTAAGTCAGGCCAACGCTGGCCATCTGTTTATGTCAAGTAAACAGAATGGAGAGTAAGACTGCACTTAAATTGATACCCAATTTCCAGAAGGTGTATCAGCTTCCTTTCCCAATTCCATGCTTATATTTGATTACTCCTCAAATTATTCTATGGTTCAGACTAGATGTTCATGTCTCCATGATGGAAGTCCCTGTGAGGTCACAAATAAAAACTTTAGCACATTAGTATAATGTTGTTTTAAAGGTGATAATATTGTCAAGTGTTAGACTATTAGAATGGTTGATATTTTTTCCTTGCTACATAGTGAATATCTCTTATTTGAATAAAATAAATAATTGAGGAATAAAAATCTAACATATTTGTGTACCTGGAGATACATATAAGAATATTCACATGGTTTCATGACAGTAAACAATTGGTAAAAACCCAAATGTCTACTTGTATACAATAAAAAATATATTTTGGTGTATTCATAAATTGAAAGCTATGCAGTTGTTAAAAGAGAGAAAATAAATCTATACATCATTATCAATAAATCTCAAAAACTTAATTTTGGAGCTGGGGTTTTGGCTCAGTGGTACAGTGCTTACCTTGCATGTGTGAGGCACCACATTAAAAAAATAAACAAAATAAAGTTATTGTGTCCATCTACAACTAAAAAAAATATTTTCAATAAAAATGTAAGGTACAATAGATATATAGAGGATGCAATTACAATAAAAACTTACAAAGAAAAAGTGTATGTTGTTATAGCAGTATATATTTAAATATATATGTGTGTAAAAGTACAAAAGTACAAAAGCATTTGTGACAATGGTAAACAGTAAGACCAGATGGTGTTACTTCTGGAGAGAAGGGGAATGAGACTAGGGAGGGATAGTCAGAGAGCTCCGACTGTTATTGGCAATGTTTAGATTGTAAAAAGAACTGGCATAATTAGAGCAAACATAAGATTTTATTGTGGTGAGTGGTAAGTAAACTGTTGTTTGCTACATGATTCTTTGTGCCTATCTTAACCGTTGAACTATATATTAATAATAAAAAGCACACAACCCTTGGGCTGGGGTTGTGGCTCAGTGGTAAAGCACTTGCCTAGCCATGTGTGAGGCATTGGGTTCTATCCTTAGCACCACATAAAAATAAATAAAACAAAGGTATTATGTCTATTAAAAAAAAAAGTTGCACAACCCAATATTCCCAGCAGAAGGAAGTCAAAAGCAGAGGAGCCGGGGCTAACAAATGCATGGTTAGGTTTGGGTGGCGCCTATGGCATTGGGTCACTAATGTCAATGAAACTTCCTCATGGTGAAAAGTCAGGTTTTCACCAAAGAGAAACCAGTCTTGTGCAACTGGCCACAAAGCAGAATGCAAAATAAATGCATATGTCCAAAAAGACTGAAAATTCAAGAGCCTCAAATAAAATTATATGCTAAAAGCCAATGTGACCAAGTACCACCAAGAATGGTATTTAAATGCTGTGGTTTGAATGTTTCTGTCATCTCTAAAATTTGTGTTGAAACTTAATTGCCTATGCAATGAAGATGTGTGGCCTATAGGGGGGATTGAGCCAGAAGGACTCGGCCCTCATAAACGGGATTAGGTGGCCTTATAAAAGAGCCTGATGGAGGGATCCTGTCCCTTTTTGTCCCTTCTGTCAGGTGAGGACACAGTGTCCCTCCCCTCCAGGTGATGCAACAATAAGGTGCCATCTTGGAGGTGGAGAGACCGGGCCCTCATTGGTGGGCAACTTGATCTTGGACTTCCTGGCCTCTGGAGCTGTGAGAAATAAATTTATATTGTTTATAAATGACTCAAGTCTTGGCATTTTGTTTTACCAGCATAAACGAGCCAAGGCAGGAATGACAGTCTGGGGAAGAAGGACTTTGCATCAGAATCTGATAAAGATACATTTTTTGTTTTAGATTAGCAAGACTGGGTGGACACCCGTTATCTGACTTTTATGGCCACTCCTAGGAACCATTTTAATACACTGAAATACAGCAGCAGAAATAAATATTAGACATCCTTATTTTTATTGTCAAGAGTTCTTTAGCTAGCCCCAACATCAGGAATCTCTCATTTACACCCATTAATCTGAAGAGTACTTGCCACCCCTGTTTTTCTCCTAGAACCTTAAACTTCATTTCATTTCATTAACCAGAACAATTTTATATATATATATATATATAAATTTAATTTAATTTTATTATTTTATTTTTTTTTAAAGTTCCCAAGAAATTCAGATGACCAGGAAGACAGGCACTTGACACTTAAAATGCTGGCTTTCAACTGTGACTAGACTGGACTCTCCTCAGACACTAAAACACTAGAGCCAGGTTCCACACACGACCTGTTCATTAGACAGCCTTTAGGAGGCAAGGCCCAGGCATTGTTTCTTAAAGCATCCTGACATGATTCTAGTGAGGAATCTAAATGGAGAACCTCCAGTTTATAACCTAAGAGAGACAGAGAAACAGATATGAAAGAGACAAGAAAATCACCAAGCAGCATTTGAAAACAAAAGCAAATGACAGATTTTAGGAAATTAATAATGAATCAGTGACACAATTAAAGCCAGATTAGATTATTTTAAAAAAAACTTTATAATATATGACATAATAGAGTAATGCAACATAAAATAATAAATATGGTAAAAATAGTAAACATACTGAGAAGTCCATGAAATCAGTTTTGAAGAGGAATTTTAAACATAGGGGCATGCTGTAGCAGTAAAAATGTTTCTCTGAATATGCTATTTTCACTGAGGGCATTGGTTCTCAGTCCTGGTTGCACAGTGGAGTGATGTGGGCAGATTTAACTACTACTGATGCCTACCTCTACAGGCAGGGATTCTGTCTTACTTGGTCTGAAAAGCAGGCAGAGATTTAAAGTTTAAAAAGGTCTCAGGTGATGCTACTGTGCACCCAAGGTTCTAAATTAGGGACTTAGGAGATGGCAAAACAAAAACTCATACCGATCCACCCAGCTATCAACCCTACCAAACAAACAAAAAGGAAAAATATGAATACAATGTAAATAGTGTACAATGCATTGTATCAGTATCTTTACTTGTGTGTTTTTGAAATATTTAATACAAAATTACAAAGAGGAATTATTTAGCTTGGGTTTCTCAAGCAAGTCTTGCTTCTGTACTTACGTTCTCACATAAAAAGGGAATTCTATATAGATGGGCAGTTCACTGTCTCCTGAGTCTGAGGCAAATGCAGCCTTAATTGAAGGCCATTTCATTCAGAGAAAATCTCAATGCAATTTAGATCTCAAACATTAGATGGAATCAGGAAAGCATTAGGACATATTTTCTCCATAGGGTTCAGAGAAAGTACATGATGTTTGGTAGAATTTGCATGTTAGATAAGCAACATATTTTTTAGTATAAATATGTACCAAATATTACATGTGACATAAAAATTTATTCTTTGTTTACCTCAACTTTAACTGGGTATTCTGTATTTTTCTTTGCTAAATCTGGCAACCATAACTCCTGTAGATTAGAAAGAGACACAGTAAAGAGAGATTTCTCAAATATTTCTGAGGTTCTACAACCCTGGCTATAATCTGTGTCCTCCTAGAGAGATCTGTTTCACAGCTCAGAATGTCTCAACTGGGAAAGGAAAGAAGAGGATGTAATAGTAAAACATCCTGTTCTCATATTATGAAATCTCCTTGTTGGTTCTGCTTATTTTCATCAACAATGATTAAATAATTAAAGCCATAAAGGCTATCAATAACCACCACCTTATCAGAAGCAGAGAGGCAAAGAAATTAAGAGACATGGCAGATAATGAGCTTCCAGTATATGAATTAAAAGGATGAGATCACTAAGTTGCAAAACTACACAAATCCTTATATGAGGAAAGTCACTTCTAACATGGTCTAAAGGGACAATTCTGGAGGTGCTCAAGCAAAAATACTAATGAGGCAAACTGACTGAGGGGTTAAGTCCCATTTTTCACAGCCATGAAAGAAGGGATTTAAAAATAATTTATAACATCTGTCATTCTGGGTGTTTAGATCTGAAAATATCCTTGGAGATCATCCCATTTCACTCTACCACTTAGTATGTAAGAAAATGGACTCATCTGCACTCACTTGAGAGTAAGTGACTTATCCAGAAATAGTCTCAAAACACAAACTCTATTCCCTCTTCAAAGTATGCATCAAAAAAATTTTTAAGAAAGACTCTAACTTTATTTATTTATTATGTGGTGCTGAGGATCAAACCCAGTGCCTTACCTGTGCTAGGCAAGTACTCTACCACTGAACTATAACCCCAGGCCATATGTATCAAATTTTAAAGGCAAAGATATTTACAAATAAAAGTTGTGTTAAAAATGGTAGTAACATTTTTTAACCTCAAACTAAGAGACAGATTTCATTGCTTTGTAATAATAGAACTTCTCCCTGGTTTTGTGGAAGATGCTCCACACTGAATGAGATGGTTGGAGTTCTAAACCATTTTGAGCTCTCTACAGTGTCATGCTGTGATCAACTAGACCTGGTCTTCCCAAGTCTGGTAGCATGTCAGAATCAACCAGACGGAGGTTAAAGATTTCTAGGTCTGACTTAGTAATTCTGGAATCCGTATTTTTTTAAAGCTCATGTAGTGAGTACAATGCACAACCTGTTGGGAAAACAGATTGAGGTCCCTGAGGAAAGAACTTCTGGTACAGTTCATTGCTGTACAGTGTCTTAAAAATGC